TATTCGCGCTTTGAAGAGTTTATTCATAGTGCTGAGAGCATAACCCGAATTTTTTATGCGTGGCGAATTATTCCGCACAACAAAATCGTTCCAAATTGAATCGAGACTGAATTATTCCGTCGTTTTAATTTTGTATGACTCAATATTTCACACTTTGATATTGTCCAAAAATTATAGGCTTTCAATATTTTCTTTTCCCAAACATTATTCGATAAGAATTAAGGGAAAGTCGGAACATTCAGATTTGCCCTGATATACGAGCAGTCTTGTTTGCCAGTTAAAATGGAACAAATGTTGATTCGTATTATAACACAATGATTGCAACCTCGTAGATCATAAAAATTAATAGACTCATTCTTGTATACGGCACATTCGGTCATAGAAAAAAACAATCAACAGAAGCTATGTTAGAGCAGTTGGTTACCTGGACGCGTTAAAAATATTTTGAGCAATTTCTTTCTTCCACGAGCGGTTTAAGAACTTATTGTTCAGAACACTTAAAGTGGGGAGAAGCTTAGTCTTCAGGTGGGTTTTAGTTTCTTTTTGTTTTGCTTAATGCAAAAAAAAGAAAACCACATCAGGCTTAGGGTGGGGTTGATTAAGGTATCATATAAAAGCCCTTCCAATAGCCATTCGATTCCTATTGATCCCATTTTCCAAAACTCTCATCGATGTCAAGAAAAACCGATTTGAACCTCTTGATTTTTAGTCCAACTTACACTGAGTAAGTTGAGCAAGAGTAGCAAGTCAATAGGGAAAAGTATATTAAAACTTCTGTTGGTGCTATCTCAAATATTTTAAATTTTGATCTGAAAAGTTTCCGTTTTTGTTATGACTTAGCAAAGCTAACGCCAGTCAACTGAAGCCAATACTATAGTTTCTACGCGAATAATTCTTGATCCTTTTCTTTACACGCACAAAAACTTTTATACATTTAAACACAAAGGCAAAGCGGACTTCGTAAAACTTGCAATACATCAAAAGCACAGCAGTGCAAGCTATCAAATAAAAAATGAGATGGAAACAACTAAATCAAAAAAATAAATCGTTTTTTTTTGTGGAATAAATGAATAAATGAATAAATAAATTTCAGAAAAACAGAGCAGGCGAGAAACACACAAACACAACATTAAATAGGCTTTTAGTATTGATTGAACGGCCCTCCAAAGGACACAAAATCAGTTGCATTAACTGTTGACACAGAAGCCAGAAGTTGAAAGAATCTAAGCCGAATAAATCTTCCATGCAAAAAAAAACAAAAAGGAAAAATTAAAAAGTCAGGGCTAGTAGATTTCAGAATTAAAGGAGTAAGCTTTCAACACTTACAAGAGCACAGGAAAATTCATGATATGGCAGCTAATTCCAGAGAACAAGAACAAAAAATCATTATGCTGAAAATTCAATTTTTCCTTAAAAAAACTGGGGTAAGGGCTTGAACCCCAGATCATAGGGTGCGAAAGCACACGCGTTACCTCTGGATCATATGATCACGAGACTGGAAGATGTTAAGCTTCAACAAAAAAGCAAAATTGTAAGAGAACTTGTTAACCGAATTAAGTTTTGTTCCCGATTACAAAACACTTTCTCTCGCAAGTGTAAAAATTGATTATTTCGGCTTGTCTCAAAAACGATTGATTCGGCCGAGACGGATGATATATACAAATTTATACAAATTTAAGCGGCATTGAATAATTCTGAAAACGTTTCCTAAGTATGGATAAAAGCTGGTTGGATGAAACTTTTGATGGTACTTGCACAGAAAACGGCCACAGTTGTTTTTTGAAACTGTAGCACAATTTGATTTCAAATGAAACTGTATAGCACAAAATTAGCACAATCACTTATGATTAGAAAACAATTGATATGAATTGCTGAAAAAATCGGGATGGGCGGAGTGGACGCATTTTTTCCACGGATTTGTCCCCCTTCCTCACTGCCAAAAGAGTGTTAGTTGGTCGGAACCCTTTGGTACTAATGCGCTCTTAATTAATCTGAAACCAAAAGTGAATGAGGTGCGCGCTCGTTTTGGTTTGCGGCCGTTTTGGTTTACCGTAGCCATTTGCCGTCAACTGACTCTGAAACTTTTCTTAAATCGTCATTATATGCTAATTTTCAATGGGAAAAACACAACTTTGTCCGCCTAAAAAATTTCGACATTTTGGAAGTTTTTTTTTCAAAAAATCCGTCTTCTCGAAAAAATCCGCCACACTCTTTGTTTCTTATCTTTTAAATAATCTAAACAATAGAGAGTAAAAAGATGGAACACCAATAGCGGATATTTTTTTTTACTACAAAACTTCAAATTTTTCTATGACAAATCAAGTTAAAAAAAATTTTGATTTTCAAAAAAATTTATTATCTTTGCGAATCACTGCTTATTAAACATGATCATGATATATCACTCTAACCCAGTTGCATTTCAGAGACGGATCTAAAATTTTTCCAAAGGCGGGAAAAATCTGCTCCTACTGTTTTTTATTCGACCTAATTATTTTGTCTGCTGCTTAGTTGAGCTCTCTATATAAACTCCTTCCCACACATGACGGTGATTATAAATGAAAACAAGACTATTTACGAGGCATAACTCTGCGTGGGATAGGCCCAAAATCTTGTGTGTAAATCTCTGGCGTGTATCCAGAGACAAGTCTTTAAGCGTGTTAAATTTTGTTCGGAACAAATAAAAAAAAAGACGAAACAAAGGAAAAACAAAGAGCGCGTCCTTGTTGCGAAATCTGCTTACCATTCACAAAAAACAGACTCTTGCGCTGTAATTTTGCTTGTATTAGGGCGAAGCCCTAAAAATTGTGACTGCCTTTTTTAAGTTATTTGCAGTAGTTTTCACTTCAAACAATTATTAAATTTTCAAAAAATCTCAAAACTTAAATTTAACTTTTTTCAGCTTTTTTTGTAAAAATCACCCCCTCACGCAATGTAAGGAAAAAAGTGACTGTTTTAGCATATAGCAGATTTTCGAATAGATCAAAATTATGCTTCATTTCGATTTTGAACGGTTTACAAGACGAAGGAAACTTCAGCGTACGCGTTAATAGGACAAAGTATATTCCACTTTAGTCATCCTAAATTTGACAAATTGACAATCCTTAAGCCCCAATAACTTTACAAATAATGAATTCAGGTTAATTTTTTTATTTTGAGCCATTTTGAGGACGGCAATATCTTTCGACTGATGCTTAAAAATTTTTCATAAAGACTCGTTAAAATTTGCAGTTTGTCTGGAGAAAAACACCAAAAAGAACCTTCTGAGCTACAGTTATACAAACTTATACTACTCATGGCGGGAGAAAATTAAAAAGAGTAGTTTATAATTTTTCTCTTTGAAGTTATCCTGTGTTCTACAAAATATTTTCTAAGAAAAACTGATCTGCTTTTTGTTGCCATTCAGGCTCAATTCATTATTTGCTAAAGATAGATGAGTTTTTCATCTGCTTTCAGCAATTTCTATCTTTGTATTTAAATTCGATTTTAACCAACCCAAAACACATACACAAATAAACACATGCATTCGAAAAAACGTTAATGAGCGTTAGTGACTATTAAAACAGTACATTAATGACTTTTTCTTGTAGCAGTTTTCAAAACAAGAAAATTGCCATAAACTCGTTCAGTCTTAAGTATCGTTTAAAATTAAATTTTTGAAAAAATATCCAACCAACAGTTTAAAAAGTGTCATTTGACACAAGGTAATCTAAAAACATGCTGAATTGATTTTTTTAATTCTGATTTGTTTAAATAAAGCCGAAAAATAGAAAATAAAAATAGCTTTGTTTTTTCTTCTAATTTCCAAAACAGTTTATGATTAAAAATTGTGTAATAAAACTACCCCAACTCAAAAAAATGGATGAAAATAATTAAAATCCACCTTCAAAATTTAAATTATTTCGCTTTTGCGCCATTTGGAGAGCGTAATTTGTTTTCTTTTCAGCAGATGATTTTTCAGTTTTTTTTAGAAAAAAGTAACAAAAGAAGCATCACGATTTCTATAAATGTTTCCTTAATATGCGTTGACAGTTTCAAATTAATTTCTTATGTCTTCATTAAAAAATTAGTTGTGTTGTTTTGCCGCAAAAAAACCCTGAAAATTCCTTTGTCACCTTTTCAAAATTTGAATAAAGTCTAACTTAGAAAATCATATTAGAAAGAGTAATTGCCTTCTATTCGTAATTGGTTTTCATTTTCACTTTTCAAATTTGTCATTAAAATGCTTTATTGCTTTCCAATGGTCTTTCTTGTACGATAATCTATGCTGCTAGGGCAGCAATCTTGTAATATTGTTGTTCCGACTTTCGTAACGAAAGTAACGGAATATTTGTGCTCGGGTGATTTTTTTCTTCTGAAAACTTTCGACTTTTTATCTGGCCATTTTTGACGGAACATTTTTATTACTTCCCAAAAGTATTCTTATCTTGAGCTTAAAATTGAAAAAGCACCTGTGATTGTTTTTCATAAGGTCATGTTGGTTTAAATATTGCCGTTTTGGATCAATTAACGCGCGATATATTTCGCGCTATTAATGCGTTAGCGGAGATTTTTTCCGTTTTAGAAATTGTTCCAAATTGGTCGAAGCAAGCTTTTTTGCCATAATAGTTTTTTTACCAGGGGCGAAATCTATCACTTTGTACTTTAAATGGCGCGTGTTTGGAGATCATTTTTACAAAAACCTCAATTTTTTTTTGTAAAACTTTTCACTTTAGTTCATTACGTTTAATTTTTTAAAGTTATTACTGCATCATAGACCTTAAAAAGCAGTCGGAACATTCCGGGCTTCGCCCTGATACGAGCAGTCTTGTTTTTATTTAAACATGATTGAAACATAGCCTTCTAAAATTACAGCTCTTTATGGAAATGAAAATAAACCCCTGGAAATGAATGCTTGCAAGCACAAAAAAAACTTTTCATTTTTTTGAAAATTGGTTTGCTGCAAAAAAACGATGCGCATATATGTTAAAAATCTTAGAAGCAATTCTGGAAAAGCATTGAAGTCGATAGTTTAAATTTAAATTGCAAATCAAAGCAAATTCTCAAAGGATACAAAAATGAATCGATAATTTACTCTGTTAGTTAAAAATTCCCAACTCACGTGAGAGCAAGATTTGCTGTGCATTAATTGCTAATATAAACTAGTTTCTAAACATTCAAATACAGCATTCATTCATTCAATTTTACACGAATTATAAAAAAGTTGATTTTCAAAATATTGTAGCATTTCTAAATTGATAAATTTCTAGCCAGCACAGAAAAGGTGATAGAATCAAAGAATAGGAATTAATGGTCATGTCCTTTCATGAACCAAAGCTAAAGTAATAGAAAAGAAAACGAAGAACATTGATAGCATCTAGAACCTTAACAAAATTGTGCATTGGTTTTTGATGCAAATGGAAAGCTCGTTGAAATTGATGCTTATGAATATTGCGATAATTCGAAGACAGTTATCCGCGCAAACATTCAAAAGTATTTTTCTACAGTTTTTTAGTTTGTGGTAGTGGTATTCTGGAAGATGCCGTATTTTTTGCACCATTTTCTGCCTTTTTACTACTCGGCGGTGTCGTAGGAGTAGGTGATGTAACCATGGATGACGTAACACCTCGTGACGTTGCTGATGGTTGTGCATGGCATTGATGCTGGTGAGGGGTGTGAACAGTTCTGAGTTGTGACGTAATAGTTCGCACGTTAGTGACTCCACTAGTCCTGCCCGAGTGTGGCGAGCTCATATCTGTGGATACAAATGTCTGTTTTTGGGTATCCACAATTCGGGTCGATGGAGCTGGGATTCCGGTGTTGCCTGAAAAATGGACCATTTCATTTGGATCCAAGAAAAGTAACAAAAAATTACATGCACAACTCAATCAAGGTCAAAAACCACATGCTTCAATGACTAGCTCTTCAGGAGGCTTTTCTGCTGAGGAGGCTTTTCTGTCATTTGTACTAGAAAAAGGAATTGAATCACCAAATCTCACTTTTGTAACCATCCGCGGTAAGGGAGACATGCTTGATTGATTCTTTCTGTTGCTGTGAAAACTAGCATGACATAGTGTCTATACATGCAGCTCAAAATGAAGTAGTATCTGTAAAATTCAGAATAAAGCTGATTCGTAACCGAAAAATATGGTCTCGATATGATTAATAATAAGATTTGATAAAGGTTAACACTATACTTAAAGTTTAAAAAAAATCAGTAGCATTCCCTTGCGATGTGACATTATACCTTTTCGGGTTAGTCATGCCATGAAATCCTTGGTTAAGAAATACATCAAATGAAAACGAACTTCCCAATTCAAGCGTCATACCTCAGAAATATGAAGATAGTGGCGCTGAACAAAGAATCGAATCCTCAACGGTTTCTGCCTTTTTATACTTTAGAAAAAACTATTGATACATAGCTTAACACAATATTAACCAGTCGAATCAACATACAGTTGACTAGGCGTAAATTAATTCAAAGAAGCCGAAAGAAAGATGAATTTTTTGAAATTCAAAAAGCTTTTGATTTTCATTGTGATGTTCCATGAGAGAAAACTTCAGTTTCGAACAGCTGAAACAGTTTTTCTTTACTATATTAGAATTTATAACCTAATATTATTCGTAAATCTTTACTTGCCATTTTCACTTTTTGTTATTGGAGTGTAATAAGCAAATGATGCAAATCTAATTAAAAGACATCAAAAGTCAAAGCGCCAAAATTTTACAAGAGAGTAAACATCTTTTTTCCTGAAACACCTGTCGACCAAGTGAATGAAGCAGGCACTTCGTTCTTTGAAAACCAATTTTTGTTCAAATAAAAACCTATTTGATTGCAAACGACTACTTGAGTGGAAATTTCGTGGCCAATATGAACTCTCAGCTTTCAGAAACTCCAATGTTTCTGTGTCAGTAAAACCCGTTCGAACAGTAAAATCTCTCACCAGTAGAAATCCTAGGTGTGCGTGGACTTCTTGGAGCACTTTGTGACGACGATTTGTGCTGATCTTCTGTAATGTACGGTTCATTGGGCAACTCTTTCACCCTTTTGAGCTCCCCTTGATGTTGTTGTTGAACAGTTGTCAAAATGTCTTTTTGTCTATCTCTTGCTGATGTTTGGTTGCGTGATTTGAACGTCCATAGAGAGTCATTAGATGGTTTTTTGAATAAAATTGGGTTCGAAGCTTTGTTATTGGATTGTAGTTTGGTGGGCATTTGCTTCGAGTTCAAATTAGTTGCAGTCCCGTCGCCAAAAAAATGCTGCTGGTCTTTGACCTCTAAGCTAATGCGCCCAGGCGCTGAAAAAAGAGAAAGATGACCAGTTAAAAGTTAACGTCACACAAGCACCAGAAAAAGCAAGGCAAGCTGAGCTGTGATCAATTTATAGAAAACTAAATAGGAAAGCAACCGAAAACCAAATGTACAACCAAACCACTCACGCTGAAATTTGAAGCTCACAAACTTTATATATAGTATGAACGCAACATTTTTGAAGTTATGCTGTTGGATTGTTATCTTATAGGCAGAAAGGATTTAAACGACATTCAACACCACAACCAAATGCTCAATTTGTTCTGTAATTTTTTGACCTTGACTTTGGGAATTTTCTCCTTTTTATTGGAATGCCAGTCGGCGCGTGGGAAGGCATTCGGCCGGGATAACCGTGATCGCTGTAAAACACAGTAACACATTTCAGTTAATCGCATGCAACTAAAAAAATTCAGGTTTTTGTCTATAAATTAAAGGCTTCGCGCTCCACTTGTAAAGATATGGTCAATGAAATAATATTTTGCACTAATAGTGGCGTCTAATTTAAAAAAATTTCGAGATAATACAACAAGGGTCTAACTGGTTTTTACAGTAATCTTTTAAAAAAATATTTGTTTGGTTCAACTTTTACTGACTATGAAAATCTATTGCTAAACCCTTTGCTTAATAACACACATTGAAAGTAAATTTTTATGTCCAAAGAAGAGAAGGATGTGAAAAGGATCCGAGTCACCGCAAAACAAGGTAGTCTTACCTGAGTCCTGAATTACTATGACTAAAACGGGTGCAGTTGTTTACTACAAAACAAATATCGATTTCATTTCAAAAACAAAAGAAAGTGAATAAGGTACAGCCTATAAATTTTCACTAATTCTGCAAGCTTTTGAAGTTGAACACCATTTGTAATTTGACATGGGTTCGTTTTGAGGAAAATTTTACTTGCGGAACATTTTTAGATTTACTTGAGGAACACCAACAAACATGCTCATTCGTCAAAACAGTGCAACTCGAATGCTTATTACGTTCTTTTCAATCGTGCATGTGTTATGAACTAACTTGCAAATAATGCGGATATACAGGGGTGGTTCTGGTTATTAGTTACCTGCACTTAGGTCCTTTAGTAGGCACAGTGTATAGCACTGCAGCGAAATACAAGACACCGTTAGATTGGGACAGAAAAGTTCCTGTAACCAGTTCAACAGGCGAAGGAAAAGAAATGTGTGTATCACACACTTAGCTTGAAAATTCGCAGGACGGTAACTCAATTTCTTTATTTGGATAAACTCAACTTTTTGGGTCACAGCTAATTTTATACTAATATAAAACTTGTCAATTTAATCCGTCAAAAATATTTGATAATAAATTTAAACAACCTGAAATGATGAAGAAAGAGTTCTAGGATGACTAGAGATACTTAATCATTAAAACTGCGAACTGTCGTTTTTTATTAACATTTTCATTCTGACATAGAAACCCTTCTGATTCAATAGATAACCTTCTACCACTATCATTCATTATTTGGGAAAAACGAAACAAAACTTCACCACGCCATTAATTCTACTCTATGTTTTCTGTAGTTAAAAATTCTCACTCGAAACTTCGGATTCAGCAGGGATACATTATCAAATCCAAAATTTTTTCCTTGTGAAACACCCACTACCATGTTTTTCTATCTCTCGTGATCTGATATGAGATTTTTACCATATTTGGGAGATGGGATGTTCGCAGCCGTGGCTTTAGTAGCTGGAATACTATTCGGATTTCCAGCGTCGACATTATCAAGTGGTTTACAACTCGGACAGAGAGCCGAAGAAGGATACGAGGCCGAACTAAGTAATGTCTGGCAACATGCCCTTGCTTTGTCGCTAGGACATGAGTCGCAAATAGCAGTGGCTGAGGGGGTGCTACATAGTGAGTTGAAAGAGTAGCCCCCATTTGGCAAGCCCCCTACGGAGGTTTTAGTCCTCCGGCGCTGAGATCTGCAGTCTTTCAAATGACAAAAAAAATTTAAATCCAACAAACTCGATTAGAAGTTTAAAAGCTCACAATGAATGAACGATGATTCCATATACAGCTGGAAGGAATTTTCGAAAATTTGGAACATCTTGAACTTTTTTGTAGAAACTTTTTTTGTGAATCAACTGATCAATATCAAGAAGTGAAAACATTACAAAATATTGCTGTGGACTTAAATATCATACTCTCTCGCTAATTTTGCCATAACTATATAGAAATGTTTGTTTACCTCTGCAAGGGTCGTTTTTGACAAGGAACTCCTCGAGTGCTTGCCACCCCCCGCCTACTCGCACCATTACTGTTGCCCTCAACACTCGCACCAGCCGCATGCGCTGCGACTCTCCAAACTGAAACCCATTTGAGTTTGCTATTACTTGAACAATTTTTCTCGAAACTACCACAAAATTCCTATCAGTAAGCAAGATCTTCCATTTATAGAATGAAAACGAAATAAATAGGCCCATTAGCCAATAATTAAATTCAGATTACCCAGAGCGTTCACCACATTTTGAATTTCCGTATCAATTCAAGAGTAAACCATGGCGGTTCATTACAAAACATACCCTGTACTTTCCGTCTCCAACTTGTATGACCATAAACTGTTTGCAACAAGTGCAATGTGATATCTGTCTCTTCAACTCCGTCATGATCTTCTCCTCGTCACTACTTCCCCCTCGGGACACCTTCCTCCCTGGACCTCCGAGGGCACTTGACCCTTGACCCGCCCTGACCCTGTCTGGTCTCAAAGCGGACATGAACTCCTGATAGTCTATGTAGCCGTCCTGGTCACTATCAAATATGTCTGCGACAGCATTCATTTCAGTCCGGTTCGTTGTGAATCCTAAAAAAAGGGTCAAGACATGATAAATGAATTTGAGCTACAAAACGTTAACAACGTTAACAAAGTTTGAACGAAAACGCTATTAGTGCTGTGTTTTTAAACGACAGTTTTTCTGACAATCGAAACTTTGATTGAAATGCACAAGTTTTTAAGAAAGGAACAAAATTTGACGCCAATAATATACGCATGGTTTGAATTTTGTGACGTGTAACAGAACAAAAACTGTTTTCGTTTTTTTTTGGTTGAGTTGTATTTTTGAAATATATCTGGCCGATAATATAGATATTTTATCGGATTATAAGGAAGCAGTAAGCACACAGGAAGCTTGTAACTGAACTTTCGGTTAACATCATCCGCAATTCCATTAAACTGATTGTTAAGTATGCGAGTAAACTTAAATATAATGGTGCGCCCATAACTGCTACTTTACCTCGTTGATAACTAGTGGACCCCTCTTCTAAAAACAAGCAAACATCAATCGGGTTGTGTTCTGACAACATTTACTTCACTTGCATTTGATTTCACGTGCAGTTACGGACTTGGAATGAACGAAAAAGAACGGACAAGCGCTATTTTAATGAAGGTTTCAGTGATTTATCCTCAAGTCTTTCAACAAAAAATAATCACTTATGATAATACATCAGGTGCCGATTTAGGCCCACTGATAAACCGCCCCAAAACTCCCCATTTGACTTTATTTTTCAAAAACAAACACAACCAAAATTCTAGCGCAAATTTTTCATTTGATTCGATTGCTTAAAAAGATTTAAAATATCGTAGTGCTGGACTGGCCAATCATTTCTGCACACATAAAGGATCTTATTATATTTTACAACAATATTAAGATTAATTGTTCTTTAATTTCCATAACTGCTCCACCAAACAAAGAACGAACAAAGCAACAAAACTGTTGCGACATCCAATTCAATTGCAGGTTCATGTATGGAGCACATCGCATGCAACCAACTTCTAAAAAATTGCAAAAGCAACTGAAAAGGCGCATTGTGAACAAAATGCCAGCCAATGCAATCAATATTATTACCTGTTCCTCTGGCTGTATTGGGGCAAACACACGGTAAAATCAAGGAGGAAAAAGACAGACAAATGACACAATTGGTGAAATTTTATAAGTTTAAGAAAAACTTTTGGCCTAATTTTTTAAGGTCATTGTTTTATTCATTTCAGATCCAGATCTTCGCCTGCAAATATAGTAATCACTGCTTGGTTGCTAAGTCATGTCCATCATTTACTAGATAAAGTAACGAGAAATCCATAAAAAAAACTTTTTAAATGTGGTAAAATGATAAACATTGGGGTGAAATTATCTTCCAATATGACGTCACACACGATGAAAATTTCTTGCTCTGAGTGTGTTTGTGTGTGTGTTTACCTGACTTAATGATGCCGTCTATGAACTGTTGCTTGGTCACTTTGCCGTCGCAGTCAGTGTCCTGTTTGCGGAAGAAGTCGATCACTCTGCTCTTCTTGTGCTGCATCCACTTCATGTAGTTCCGTCTCCACTCCTCGAAGCTGAAGTTCTCCAGCGCCGTTTCCTGGAAACAAGAGAAAATTGATGAAAGCAAAGAATGATTTCTGCATCAGTTGAGTAGCATTGAAAAAAAGCCATAGAAGAAGGTTCGTATTCTTTTGTTGAAAATCACCATAAATTTCCAGAATCAGGCTGCAAAAAATACAAGAATATTTTTGAACATACCAGTAAGTATAGATAGCTTTTCATCAATTAAGTAGAGGTTTCAGTATCTGACCATCTCGTTACACTTATAACTTGCCATCATTAAACAACCTAGGAAGAAAAAAATCATAACAATATTATTCTACTCACCTCGAGTATCTGTTCCTTGACAGCGTTCAATTTTCTTTTCCTCTCCATAGCCTGCAGCCATAATCTCTGATATTTCCTCTTCGCCTGAAGCACCCTGGGGTTCGAACTCCATTCACCCCTACTGCCTCCGTGTCTACTGCCAGTACCCACACTACTCGTTCCGCTGACCAGGGAGTCCCGACTGTCTGCTTGGCGGAGAGTAGTGCCGGTGCCGCCTCCAATAGCGCGTGAGGGTCCGATGCCGGAGTGGCTTCCACTTCTGGGACTGGCCTGGCCACTGCGGTCGGGGGAGGAGGAGTTCACGCTTGGTGATCTAGTGCTTCTGAAATAGTTTCGATGCTCATATTTCCACTTGAGCTCGGAGTTCGAGATTTAATGAAAGCAGTTCGGAAAGTAAATGAAAACCAATTGAAAAAAGTAAATGAAAAAATTATCGGAGAGAAAATGAGAAGGTTGCTATTACGTCGGTAAAAAAGTGAATAAATAAGTTGAGCAAACTACAAAAACCTCATACATTTGTCTCGAAAAATCTTCAATTAGCAGAAGACACTTCTTCAAGAATCATATTTGTCAGAATTAAAAAAGCAAAAGTTAGTTGCAACTAAGCCGAAAATACTTGAGCCGTTGTAATTGTTGGCATGAAAATTCGAAAATCGACAAAAATCTATACTTAAACCCCCCGCATTTTTGGGAACTACAAAAGGGTAAAAATACTTTACAATTACCATTAACTTTTCAAACAACGCAACTTTCAATGATTGAGTCGACATAAAAGGCCGAATAAAACTTTTCAGCGAAAAAAATATAGAAGGGAAAACGGTGTCACGACTATTTGCCCCAGGACAACTGGCCCTATGCCAACTGGCCCTATGCCAACTTGCCCTATACTAAATTGCCCTATATGAAAACTTGTCCTAAGCCAACTAGCTCATATGACAACTTGTCCTATGCCGTTTTGTCCAACAATTAACACTTCTAGTTAATTATTCGATGTTCAAATCGATTAATGCTTAGGATCAGCAAGTGCTAGCGATAAACTGAACTCGTTTTGAGATAAGAAAAGAAACTGACTGAAAATTGTTTGAATTGAGCCTCAATTGTTTAAATTGAGCCTCAAATATCAAAAATAACTTTGTTAATTAAACTTAAACTTTTGACAATAAACAGCAATCAACGCTATTGAAACAGAACAAAACACCAAAAAATTTTTTAGCGTCATTGTTTAAACTTTTTTGTTCAAACATACAACTTAATTATTATGGGTCAAACTACGTGGGGAATATCTCAACGAAACAAACGAACGCTAATTATTGACGGACACGACTTCACGAAACAGCAAACAACATAAATAACTGAACACTGGAGATGCGCGAGAAACAGTTCCTACAAGTTCCGAATGCTCGCTGTAACAGCTGCAGATGAACTGGTATCTACCAAAAGCGAACATAGCCACGATGTAAGACCGGGAAAAATTGAAACAAACAAGATGATACATCAAATGAAAAAAGAGGCCACGCAGCAAATAGAACCTGTTATGAGCAATATAATTGCGACTTGTCTCCAGGAAGCATCAGACGAAAAAGCAGTTCAGTTATCCTTGCCAAGTCTAGCAGCAACAAACAGAGTTCTTAACCGCCACAAAAAGAATCTGGCTCCATCTGCTCCAATCATTAAAGGCATTTTGTAAATCCAACGGAGTATACTGATTTCTGTTTATTCGACAGTGGAGTCATGGACCCTGAACTAATTTTAATCTTTGGTGAGTGGGATAATGCTCATGCCCTCCGAATTTACAATTCTCTCTGGCTTTGCGACGGCACATTCCAATTTTGCCCGATGCATTTTACCAGCTTTATACTGTACATATTAAAATTGAGTGTTTCTACCCATCTAGATTTTATGCTCTACTCCCTAGCAAAACAGAACATACATATGTAAAGCTCCTGAAAGCTATTTATACTGTCTCGGATAATGCGCAGCCACCAAGGATTCTTATTGATTTTGAACGAGCCGCCGTCAATGCTTTCGCAAATGCATATCTAGTCTTCGATCAAAAAATGTTACTTTCACCTCGGCCAAGCATTTTTACGCCAAATAAATGAGCTTCGTTTGAAAAAATTGTATGAAAACTATTATGAACTAAGCCGAGCTCTCCGTTTAATACCCGCCTTAAGTTTTGTTCCAACTGATTTAGTCGAACAATCGTTTGAGAGCGTTATCGAGGAAATTGAGCATGAGGTTGATCGTTTAGATCTCGAGCAACGTGTGGCAGATAAAATATAAGAGCTTGCTTCAAACTTCCAGAACAGTTACATTAAAGGGGAAAAACAAAAGGACGAAACAGTTTGCAGCCCCTGTTTCCTCTGAGTCTCTGGAATCATTCACAAGAAGCAACGGAAGGTTTGATCCGAACGATAAACGCCGTTGAAGGCTAGCATCTCGGAGTGACAGCGTTATTTCAAGGGAGCCACCGAAGCCTCTACGTTTTTCTAAAGAAGATTCAATTGGACTCCACAAATCAAAAATTTAACGTTTTGAAAGCTATGGGGGACGCAAAACCAGAGTCGGAAGAAATATCGCGATATTCATGCGAAAATCCAAAACATTTCCAGTAATTTCAACAAAGACCAGATTGTTGATTATTTATATGCACTTGCTCATTTAACTCTTTCGTAAATTTTAAAGTGTCGGCATTTTGTTGCATTTTTTAATGATTTTTAAAACATCACTTTTTCAACTTATACCCACCGTAGAGAGCCCATAATTTTGGTGGTGATAGAGGCCAATACTTCAATAACTTTGCTCTTTCCCTCACCCCGCCCCTATACTGGAGTACTCAGTATGAGGGTTTTAGGGTAGGGTAGTACCAGCACTTTTTCTCTTTCATGCTTTCAAGTTAAAATTTTTTAGTTCTTCGAGTTTTGAACTCTTGATTTTTTGACTAAGATTAATGCGTTGAAATTTTGCGGCTTTCAATTTGTTCAAGCATGCTTTGAACCCATTTTGATTCCGCACATGTTTTAATGAATCCGCATTTTGTTTCAAGTTTAATTGCTCAGCGAAAACGTCTTTTATGTAAAGGCCGACATTATGTGCTATGAGGATATCAAAGAATCTCAGGCAAATTTTAATTATTTATTATCTGGGACAAGATGACATAGGACAAGTTGTCTTGTGGGGCAAGTTGATGTTGACTTGGGACAAAATGACATTTAACCGGGAAAACAAATAGAATTAGGGCTGATCATCTTACAGATTGCAAGAAGTTTTAAATTAAGAAGGCTTTAATTATAGTAAAAATTGCCTTAATCACAAAAACAAGACGCACTGTGGCAACTAAGGTGACAAAAAGTAATCAGACAAACGATGGGCAGACATTTTTTGTAGGAAAACTTTTTCAGTTTACAACAGGTCCTAACCGTATTCGAACTCAGGACGGCTGTCGTCCCAGGCATATACTTTATCGCTAAGCCAAGTGTGTCACAGAAGATATGGCACTTTAATTATAGGGAAACTTAAGCCGAGGACTAAAAAAACATAAACTAAATTAATATGAATTAAATGAAAATCAAAGAAAAAAACATTGTCCTGTTCCTACATGCTTGATGGCATTAGAACACGCACATACATAAATCAGATTCAAAAATTTGAAAACTAAGCCGACAATGCTTAAGTCAACAACTATGAAGCCGAAAAATAATCATCCTAAAAAGTTAATATTGAACACTTAGACAAAGCATTTATGAGCAGTTATTGAGTAACAGTATGTAATAAAGCAGTAGATATTAGTACCTAGTAGTTAAATGTAAATTGTCAAGAAATTAGTCATGTCAGCTGCTCAGATGATAGCGGCGCAAATAACTCTTTTATTAAACAAGTTAGTAAACCAACAAAAGGCGTATATTTCCACTTAATAACGCTTGCTTATCTCAAGCGTAATAAAAAAAAAACACAGACATCATACAGGTGGGAAAATGTCAATGAGCCATTTTCAACTTGAAGTCATTCACATTTTTTGCGCCCTTTCTGCTTTTATAATTGGAGAACCTATTTTTACCTTGCTTTACCATATGAACTCGAGTGGAACTTAAAAAGAATTCAAATCTCAAGCCGCAAAAGATCAAATGCGGCGTAAGCAATTTTAGGACTTTCTCCTGCAAAAAATCTGAAAAAAAAATAACCTCGAACAATATAAGTGTCTTCACTACGTTCATTAACACTTAAAAAAGGAAAGAACTTGAATATTATTGAGTCTAAAGAAACATTTTATTCGAAATCGAGTTAAATTAGAAATAACAGCAGCTGAACGTACCTCGCTTTGTCCGTTGCTGAATTCTTGTATCCCGCTTTGATCGGAATCTTAGTCTTCCTTCCCTTCTTGTCCACCATCTTGCTCGCAATCCCGTCCGGAATAGCCGACAGTGGGTTCGTATCAGTAGACGAAGCCCTGCTAGCCGCCCCCGTGCCCGCTCCTCTCTGGTGGCCCCGGGATCTCTGGGTTGTGGTGTTGAGGGAAAAGTTGGGTCCAGATAGAAGTCGATCCATGTCCAGTTGCCGGTTGGTCATCTCATCTTCTAGTTCCTCGTGCTCAGTTAGAAGACCTTCGATTGCGTCCAACTAAAATTAGATTGATAATGAATTCACATGTTGTATTCAATTGACACAATTTGTTGATTTAAATAACAGTTGATTTTACCCGAGAAATGGAAACATCTATTAATATGTAGTACAGCATATCGTTTACGGGTACCATTTCATTGGAAAAAGCTAATTTTTTTAAATTAACGCAAAGTTTTCAGAAAAATCAAATAACCTCATTTTAGAGAACCGTGTCTTAGATTGATATAAACTATGAAGATGCCTACATCATTCGGAATTGGGTGTTGTGATGCATGGGCGAGGGTGTCTTCTGTGCGAGACATCCATGCCACCATGTCTTCCAGCAGCAGTTCCGACTGTCTGGCAGCATTCAGAGCCCCATTCAGCTGGTCAGTCTTCAATCCCATCAAACCACTCACTTCCGACCACCTACAGAGAAAAGGTTGAAAGTACCCAATGTAACACGGTTGCACACCTTTATAAAAACATAGTACTACAACATAAGTGTCATCTTATTAATAAGCCGGAACGGATTCAAGTTATATTAACTCTCCTCGCGGCCATTATCTCTGTATCGGAATAAATTTACAAAAAAAAACAACTCCAAAGAGAGCTTGATTGCTGTTTGGTATCCAAAACATCGCCAACTGACAGTTGGAAAAGAGCAATGAACGCAAGAAAAATAAAAAAAAACGACTTGTTTTTTCAAAAATCTTCAACTTTTGAATTTCGAATAAAAAAATTAGATGGCCTTAAAGCTTTTTGAATTTGAAGAACAAATTATGATGGAAACTTTTTTGTTGAAATTAACTCAATTTGAGAAAACTGGATCAATAAGTAGAACTTTTATTTCGCTGGGAAATCTGATAATTGATTTCTATTTTCACAATTAGAATTTGATCACGTTTTTCGTGACCTTTACAATTTTGCTGTTCGATAGTAGATTTTGCTTGCCTTCCTTTTAACCATAGAAATGCACTGAGCTAAAAAAAAAGAAATCAAAGTCAAGCCGCGAAAAATCAAAATTGAGCGTGAACAAATTTTAAAAATTTTTCCTAAAAAAAAAACAAAATCAGCAATACCTATTTAAGAGTCTTCACTACGTATATTACTCTTAAAAACTGCAAAATTAAAAAACTGAAGCCAAACTTTTTACAATGAACTTCTATAGCGTAATTATAAAGACAGTGGTATGAAAGAATCCGATCGACTCACTTGTCAGTTACTGCTTGTATCTCCCGTCTCATTTTCTGGTTACTAGCGGCCGCAATTGTGTTCAGAGCACCTCCATTGGGCTGAATCAACAGAGCACTCCTCTTGATCATATCTTCTCCCTTCTTAACCACGCCGTCCAGGTAGTAGGACTGCTCCTGGTTCATCAGAGATGAGAACTCAGTGTGTTCCAGCAGCATCTGGTCTAGTTTCTCCACTTCGTCCGGAAGCGGTCCGTGGAAACGCACACGTTGTTCCGCTTCTCCCATCCACATGTACATTTCTAAGAATTCAGAGTTCAAGCTAGCATTGAATTTGCCAAAAACGGCTCATCTATTTCAGAATAAAATCTTAGACTTAGCAAGAAATGCTCAGTTTACAATTGACCCGAACCATTAACTCTCAAAGTACAACACAAAATTACCATCACTTTGAACACTCGAAGTTGATTGTGACTCAATTTCAGATTCTGCGCTAGATTCTTAATCAAAATGCGAATGTGAGCCAAGGAATGAAAAATAGTACGTCGACATTTGAGTAGCAATTTGAGCCCATTTGTAAACAATCTGGCGTACTCGGAGTACAAAACCTTAATGTTATTATCTAATTTTACTCTGGACGTACCTTTGAATCCTTCATCTAGCATTTTGGCCTCTGCAAGCAACTGCTCTAGTCTATCTTTCCTCTGAGCTGCCAGCTGGTTCACTGTCTTCCAGTGGGCGACCAGCTCTGCCAACTGCTCCTTCAGAGTGTCGTCTCCTTGCTCAGTTGCACTGCGAACCAGACTGTCGATGCTCTTTTGGCGGGTGGACAGTTCACGCATTAGGGCCTGGAAACAGAGACATTCATTGTAAGAAGACAAAATAATTACTCAATAATCAAGTGTCAGGATAAAACATTGGACCTTATAGTTAAGTTATGCGTAAATATTTAATGCTTCAAACTTCAGCCATTTTAAAAAGTTACATACCAAAAGACCGAAGTTTCCAGGAGTCTAATTGTTGCTTGCATTTTCGATGGCTTCCATAATTGAAAAACTTATCATAGTTGAAAAACTTTTCTTAGTTGAAAAAAGAGCTCTAGCCTTATTGTGTTGTATGGTATGATTGATGGAATCCGTGTCTATGGGTAGAGGTGCCTTGGGGTCAAGAGAACCCTCCTGCGCCAGCAGCCACTCCTTCAGTACCCCCAGGGCATCTTTGAGCTGGCCACACCTCACCAGGGCACTCTCCAAGTGGTGCTGTCTGCTAGCAGCCCTGGTAACCAACAAGCAAATTGAGAAAACTTATACTAACTAGAACAGGTCAAAAAGCACAACTTTTGCTTTCTTACAAAAAAAATAAACAATTATAGAAATATGATTAAGCTCTCATTCAATTTCAGTACAGTTCTGTTCAGTGCTCATGAAAACAAATTAGTTTTTAGGAGATACGTGTTAATTATGAGCTTTACTTCATTGAAATATTATGTAAGTTTCAATACAGATCTGGTTTCGAGAAACTATGGCTGACCTGGTGGTGGCGCTCTCCCACTTGGTCCTGAGGTCTTTCATCATCTTGTTCAGGGACTCCGTGTCGTTGGGAAATGGCCTGCACTTCTCCTTCAATGTCTTGCCTGCTTTCAGAATAGTTTCGACCTGGTGCTGCTTCTGCTGGATGCCCTTCTGCACCTCCTAAAAGCATACATGGTTCAGTTGTTTACTTCTAAATGAAAATGAAAATGGTTGTCACATTATATTGAGGGCTCTTCTCCATTCCTATTCCCTCACATTGCAAAACTTTAATTTTCATAAAACTAATGTCTGGGTTTATAGCTAAACACATGATATTTCGATATAAATTATGAAGAAAAAATAAGTTCCAAAAGTTAATTTCTTCGCCACGCAAAATTTCGTTATATTATGAAAACAATAGAATTAAAATTGAATTTCAATTAAATTTCAATTGTAAGTGGTGTAGAAATAAGCCGAGACTATTTATCCTCAATGGAATTGGGAATTGACCAAAATACGAGCTGTGTTGACTTATTTATAGAGAGACGCATTTGTCCCCCGTAATAGCACCAACATGTTAACTTTTTTAAAATATAATTCTAGGATGAGAACTGTTGCTTTGTCCTCAAGCACCGACCTCGGATCTTAGTTAGTCTCGTAACACCGACCTTTTAGTTTCAAATCTTTCACTGATATTTTTACACAGAGGTGAAGCTTCGCTAAGCAAATCCTAGCGAGAACACCGCAAAAAAAAACATATTTATAAAAAGCAATAAGAAAAATCTGAAATAAGCCTCGAAAAATAATTCAAACATTTCTTTAAAACTGCAAAAGCTCAAATAAGAGAAAGGTAACAACTTAAGAATTTACCTTGTGTTTGGCTAGATCTTGTTTCAGCAGTGCTACGTTGGTAGTCAAAGCAAGGTCGTCTGTCTTCATCTTAGCGTCTTCCTCACATAGATAGTCGTATAATTTCTTCCATTGACCATGATACTAGAACAGAACCATTCGATTTTAGTTATAAGAGCAAAAAATTTTAGATTCTGTCAAGATGACACTGAAATACGTGTGATGAGTATTAAGAGAAGTGACGAAATCCAACTTAGTGTCAAAGATTTGATTCATAAAACGATTAAGTCTAACTAAATTCATTTCGTTACAAATTCTTGAAATGTATCACAAGGTGCAAAAAGTCTGGTCAGCACTGAGTATCTTAGTTATAAAAATCAAAAAACTATTCGACAACAAGCCTTGGGTTTAACGGTATTTCAAAGAAAATTGCCTACGGAAAGGACAACTAAAGCATACCTGTTTGGCTCTCTTGGCTCCGTCATCCAGTCTCTTAGACTGGTCTCTCACTTTCTTGGCCACTTGGTCATATCTGTGTTTGATGTCTATGACTAGGTTCTTGATTATGGCCATCTCCTGCTTCTCACTGTTGCTCTTGTGCTCGAACGAATTCTTCTCCAACTCATTCACAGCTTGTCTCTTTTGTTCCACTTCTTCCAACAGAGGCTGAAAATAGTTGAACATAGATCAAGAGGTCACGTCACGCGAAATATCACCAAAAGTTTTATAAATAAGCCTTGAAAAGTCTCTAAATTTGCTTAGATTGAGACAAATTTTCATACTTTATCTTCGAGACAGTTGAAAAACTTTGACTTCAAGATGTTAATTAGATGAATTTTCACGTAAATCAAAATTTTGAAGAAAGTTATTACTTGTTGACTATATCTTGCGACAATAGCTTTCGTTGTCATTAAAATTCTTCTCAGTATCTGGATTTTAAGGATAGTATAACTTTTGAAAACGCAAGGCTCTTAAAAATATCCACACTTGTTCTCTTGACGCGTTTCGATAAATTACAATCTGACCTTGAGCTGTTCGATCTGTCTGTTGACTCCCTCCACGAGTACACTGACGTCCTTGTTTGTAGATGCCTTGCTGTTGGCCTCAGTCAGCCACTGGATTAGGGAGTTCAGTTGTTCCTCGAACTGTTTGGACCGCTGCAAGACATCTTCTAGAGCCGCCTACACAAAAACAATATCATTAAAAAACAGCAGTTCAAGAAAACACTTTCTTAATCGTGTGTCAACTTCAAACTTTTTCATTATCTCTTGCTAAAGCTAATGAGGTCTAAATTTTTTGGCGTAAAATAAGTTTATACAGTGATTAGTTTTAAGTGTTTGACAATCGAACGCGCTTTTAATTTACGAATACAAAAATTGAATTCATAATCAACAATTTCTGATGCTAATAAGGCGTTGCAAAAAAGACATAGTCTCATTACTGCAAAATTATAGAACTATGTAGCCGAAATTGGTCAGACTGTGGTAGACCTGAAGCTAGAGGTCCATTGGGAGCTCGTCCTCACACGCTATAATTGCCATGACATGGGATCGAATACACGATCTGACGATTTCAAAGTGAACGCCGTACCACTATGCTAAGTGCCTCTCTACCACTTAATAAAAATTATTGTAAAAATTTATCAACATAAAACATAGCCAACAGACAGTTGGAAAAGAGTCAATGAACCACGTAAACAGAAAAAATACTGTCGAATATCGAAGAAAAAAACGATGGCCTCCAAGATCATTGAAATTCTAGAACAATTTATGCTGAACACTTTTATAAAACAAAATTAAAATAAAATTAACCCAATTTCAGAAAACTGGATCAATATGTAAGTTTTTCATTCCGCTGGGAAATCTGCAAATCAAAATCCACTTCCGAACTAGAAATCGATCACGTTTTTCGTGCACTTTACAGTATTGACGTACGATGGTGGAGTTTCTGGAGTTTCAATAGAGGAAATGAATTGAGCTTCAAAAGAAGTCAAGTTAAACAGCGAAAAGTAAATTTGAGTCGAACAAATTTTAAGACTTCCTGATAAAAAACAAAAAAATCATCACGACCTACATAAGAGTCTGAACTACGTTCATCGACTCTTATTAATTTTTATTTTAACTCTTCCAAATATTTTAGTTTTATTTTGAAGTTTGAAAAATAAATTATTGCAATATTTTTATAGCAACATATACTATACGAAATGAAAAAATTGGCAATCGTGGGTATAAATACCTTTCTATTAATAGCTTTCGTATGTGCATTTGACCACTTATCCTCCACTGCCTTCATCGCCTGTTTAATCGCAGCCTCACACTCCGCATCCCCCTTACAAATGCTCAACATCTGAGTCGCCTCTTGCCTCACAGGTTTCAATATACTGCCCTCTTTTTCCCGGAATTCGGAGAGGAGGTTGTTCACGATCTTCAAGTTGGCTGTGATGGTCTTAGGGAATCCACCGAGGGGTTTGGATGTCATGACGTAGGGTTCCTTCGATTGCAGCCACTCAGATAGTTTGTTGATGGAGTTTTGGAAACGTACCGCCTGTCAGGATAAATGAAGTTTGATTGTAAAATTTAAAATCGCAAGCAAAAGTAAGTATTGCATCTTTTTTTTTGAAACGCATCGTTTGAGAGACATTTGACCATTATGAAAAAAACCAAGTCAGCTCTGGCCTGAAAATTTACCTGTCGTTTTGCAGTTTCCAACTCATTTTGCCTCTTGAAAGCAGCAGTGCTGATCTTATTCATCCTCATCTTCATCTGGTTCATCTCCTCAACATTGTACTCCTTCCCACTGTTCCTACTCCCTCTAACCAGAATGTCCAGTCTAGACTGGTAAGAGTGGAGGTCATTCTGGAGCATCTTCAGTTTGGCTATCTCCACTTCAATTGAGGCCATGTCTCCAGCAACAGGCTTCATTGATGATGCCTCCTGCTCCGCCTTAAAGAGTCCAACGTCATAAGAAACTCCAAGTGAGTTCAAGGTATAAATAATTTTAGCTCAATAAAGGAAATGAACGAAAAAACTTAAGCTTTCTTTGCATGTTTGTGGTTCACAGATGCTTATATCTAGTGTATGGTAAAAACAACAAGTGTGACCCAGTGAGCCTTTGGTTCGTAGTCAGAATATACAAAGCAAACTTTCCTCGCATAAAGTATTATAACCTAAACCACAAAAAATAAGCCAAGAAAGTCAAAGGTCTTGGTACTTGAGATCTTTTTCATTATGAAATTTCAGATATAAAACGGTTTAGTTCATACAAAAGTGACAGAACTGCCATATGAGCCGTTGCAATTATCAAAGCTTACCGGCCTCTTTTTTCTTTGCGCTTAGGTTAGAAGCTTATGAATCGCACATGCAGCTGAAAATATTTTAGACATCATTACCTTGTCTAGCCACAGCTGAACTTCATGAAGCGTGGAATCGTCATTTCCAGATCTCAATAAAGCTTCGTCAACTTCCTGCTGTCTTTCCATGATAGACATGCACACATTCTCCCATCTCGACTGAACTTCGTCTATTTCTGAATCGATAAAATGAGTCGCCGGGTCATTGATCGGCCTCAGACCCGAGAGTTCGTCGTTTTCATCTTGGTAAGTAGGGGTCGAATCCGCTTTCATTTTGGACCCTTTGGTAATAAAGGCGTCTAGTTCTACTTGTTTAGGTCCTAATTCATGTTTCAGTTTTCGCAAGTCAGTTTTAGCGTGTTGTGCTTTGAATGCAGAGTCGAAGTTCTTTGGCATTTGGCTCAGTGATTTTTCAGTCTTTCCAAGCCATCGTTTCAGCTCCTATGAAATACAACAATAAAACTCTTGAACACATCTAGAAACACACTTTTTACCTTATTTTTCTCGTTTTATTGACTTTTCTAAAAAAAAATTTCATGGTTTCCAGCTTAAAATTCGATAACATATCGGTTTACAAGCTAGTCAACTGAATCCCCGGTTACATATTGCAAAACGCTTTGAAGCAAGACGTACCTGACTAGATCTAGTAAATTGCTCGCTATTTGCCAAAGCTGCAGCAAGCGATTGTTCTCTGTCGTTGAACATCGCATTCAAAGTATCCCAGTTGTTTTGCATCTCTTCCACAACTCGGAACACGAGCGCCTTTTCAACTTCGGCTACCGATCCCAATACCGACTGAGCGCCCTCGTTCTGAGCCCATTCCACTTCATCTCCTAACCCCTCCATTTCTTCTCTAATGGCCTGAAGGAACGCTTGTTGCTGTGTGATATAATGTTTCTTCACACCTGGTGGGTCAGTCTTCACACTTGTGTCTAAGGACTCAATTTGCTCTTTTACAGATCTATTCACACGTTTTAGTTCGCGCCAGAACTTACTGCACGTCTCGTACGCACTTTCAAGCATTACTTCTCGCGAGGAGATTAAATCCTTGACTTGAGCATGCGAATCGTTCGCTTCTTTGACCATTTGCATCAAATCTTTGCCGATTATGTCATTCGGATTTGTTTTCAGAAGTTGTTCAGCATTCACTCGGACTTTCTCGATTTCGACTTCTTTACCGTCTACTTCTTTTCGGAGGGTGCCCATACTTTTGATTTGCTCTTTCAATTTCTTCGGGTCTGAACTGATTGATTCTGGTGCGATAAGACTCTCGTAAGCTCCCGAAAGGTATTCGGCAATTGCTTCAATCGCCTCACGATGCTAAAAAAGACAAACTCTATCAAAAAATACTAAACGGAATAATTCTCCAAAATATTTTAATTTTTTAATAGTTTTTTTTTTAAATATAAAATTGGTCGAACCTGTAGTGATTCCTGGATGTCAAAGTACAGCTGTTGTGCTCTATCTTCCACATTCGCTCCAAGTGAGTTGTACCTTTCTACCAGGGACATAACGTATCTGTTCAGCTCTGCCACCGACTGGTTCTCGGCTGCATCTTTATTGGTCAGCGAACCTTCAATCGGTTTATACAGTGCTTGCACCATAGAAACATTCTTCTGTATTTTAGACACAGAAACTCTGTAAGACTGGATCAGTTCCTGGAACTCCAAGCATTTATTTTGCTCTTCTTTCAAGTCTTCTTCACTCAAACTTGCGAAGTTCTGATTGGTCATTTCGGATAGAATAGTTGGTTCAACTTCGTCCAGCCAATCAGAAAGCGGGCTCGCAACATCATGGATTTCTTCAACGAGCGGATCCGATTGAGCCAAAAACTGTCTCAAAGATTCTCCGTTTGATGCCAAATTTGAGAAGTTCGACTTAAGCGATCGCATCAAATCTAGCAATTCGTGTCGTGCACTTCGGTCTTTGGTTCGTTTTGCCAAATCGTCACTTCGTTTCACCAGTTCGTCTCGTAAAATTTCTTTTTCAGGTAAACTTTCGAAGAGTTTCCGAAGGACATCATCTTGTTTCTTGCACTGCTTGACATTCGTTTTGTCAATGCTTACAGGTTGGATTGCTTCGATTGCTTTCATATTTGCTTCCACCCATGCGAACAGCTCATTGACCTATAAATAAAAATTTGCTGATCCAGAAAGCACCATAGAAACCCAATTTGTTCAAAGCCCATTTTTATCTAGACCACTCCTCTTAACCAAATAAGTAGTCAAAATAACTCAGCCAATAAGTATCCTAAATATCTAAGTAGATTTCAAATAAAACTTAAGGGAACCTATGCTGACGAACTTTTGAACGAATACCCATGTTAAATTATGGATAAAAAACTGAGTAAAAGCTGGTCTAAAACTTGGCTACCAAAACAAATTTTACCTGAGCTTTGAACTCGCTCGTTTCGTTTAACGACTTCTCAAGCTGGGCACCTCTTTCTTTCAGTCCAATTTCTATCTCTCTGAATCTGTTATTGTTGTCGTGAATCGAACTTTCCACAATTCGCGATTCGTCGCCACTCGTTAACGCTACCAATTTAGGACCGCAGTCGTTTATGATATCAAGCTGCGACTTTCTCTGCGAGAGTTGTTTCATTCGTTCATCATGTTTGACCAACAGTTGGTCCCAGCTGCCACTTAGTTTACTCGACAACTCGGCTTCCATGGTGTCGAACCACTCGGCTAAGTTCCGATGAGTCTCGCCGAAGTCAGTAGCCAATGGGAGGGCAGCCGAGAGCTTCCTAATGCGATCTGAACTCAGTTCAGAGACATTTTCGAACAGCTGGTCAACTGAATCTAGTCGTCTTTGAAGGGCAATTTTGTGCCCCGACTCGCCGCTGTTTTTCAGTAAGTTTTCACCTAGTTCTATCAACCCGTCTACTTGTTGTGCGTGGTTCTTGATTTCTCGGTCGATGACCTAAAACATTCAAGCACTGTTGTTTATCTGACGATGTTAACAATTAATTCGGTAGAAGAAATCGATCTATGCAACAGAGGGAAAATAATGTTGTCTTATTTTTAGTCATTGCCCCCATGTTACCTAGTGTTATTAGCCACCCCTATTAAGGACTAATTCAACGGTTAACCATATGCCAATATTGTACCAAGTAATACATTTGCCTTTTGCAATTATTAGGGTGTATTTAACGAGATTCGAGTATAATACACCTACTACTTATACCCCCTCCTGCTTTTACCTTAGGATGAAACTTTGAGAACATACAATACAGACAAAGGAAAAGTGGCAATAAACTCAAGCAAACTGAAAAAAATATATTTAAAAATTTTTCTGAACATCATCTTTTGAGGTCTAGCGAAAATTTATTTCCAGCTAAATTTCTTTCAACTTCCGGAAACTTTATGCTTGATAAATTGTTTGAGTAAGCAAAGCGAATTTGAGGAAAATGGATTAGAAAAAATGTTTTAAATTCATTACATTACGAGGCCAAACTGTGCACTGGATAGGCGCACAATTTTGTGTCTGTATGATAATTTTGTGTCTGTATGACCCTGGATTCCAGAGACAAGTCTTTAAACATGTTCAAATTCTGTCAAAACAATATAAAAAAAAGAAAAAAAAAGAAAACAAAGAGCATCCTTGTTGCGGAATCCCTTTACAATTCACAAAATCCACAATTTGGCCTCGTAGTGTAGGAAATCGTCAAAACGGCTCCAAATTTTCCGCAAATTGCAGATTTACTATTTGCAGAAGACTAACGTGTGCTTCATTTGGCAAAAGTCAAATAACAAAAAACATAGCAGAAAACTATCGAAAAGGAGTCAATGAACGCAAGGAAACAGAAAAAAATGTATTTTTTGATAAAATCTCAACTTTTGAACTTCATAGGTAAAAACAGACTTAAAGCTCTTTGAAATTCTAGATTTACTTGTGTGTAACACTTTTTGATCAAATTAACCTATTCGAGAAAACTGGATCAGCAGGTAAAATTTTTATTTCACTGGAAAATTTCATCATTAAATTCCACTTTCGAAACTAGAAGTTATTGAATAGAAAAAAAAGGTAAAAAAACAGTCAAAAAAATTATGTCTACGAAAAAATCAGGATATTGTCTCGGATGAAGCTTAAAAATAGCCTGAGCAAGCATCGAGAATCAACGGCTGAGCAAAAACTAAGGCAATCAAAACTTGGGTCGACCCTTGTTAAGCCGAAAACAAAACTAGAAAAAACATCACTTTTTAAAAATTTACGAACCATCCTTGCTAAAACGGGCAGGGGCAGTCTAAAAAATCGCCATTGAAACTACGCAATATCAGCAATATAAGTTGACAAAGCCGATATTACATAAGCCGAACCCATTTAACCAAAAAACCAATAAAACTACAGAACAACTTTCAATTATAGTTGAAACATTTTGAATCAAAAAGTACTATAGCCAGAACAGATTGAAAAGCGTACCAGATCGTACAAACTGCATTTGTAAAATAAAAGAAAAAAATCAGCCGATAAAAATTGAAACAAAAACCGCAAATCCGAAAAAGTACATTTGAAAAAATTGACCACAGCCAACACTGATGGAAACGATTGAATGAACGCAAAGAAACAGCAAAAAAATTATGATAAATTTTTCGAGCTTCAAACAAAAAAAAATAATCAGCACCTATATAAGAGTCTGAATTATGTTCATCGACTCTTAACTACTACCTCAAATGAACTAATAGACGTCAGTAGAATTTGTAAGAAAAGTTACTCTCGCAAGTGAAAAAACTGAATCGCATGGTAAATTTATTCTGAAAAATAAAATCCACTTCCGAAATGTGAAGCTGATCACGTCTTCTTACGCCAATTGCGCTTTCATAATTGGAAAAGCATTTTGCCTAACTGTTCGCAGTTGAATTTGAAATGAACGCAAAAGTGCAAATTTACCTAAGTGTATTCATTAGAAAAACCACCTAGATCTATATCAGAGTCTTCAATACGTTCATCAACTCCTAACAAATGTATGCGCCAATAAATTTTAACTGTTTCTTGGAGAAAAAAAAAACACAAAAATCACTCGATCCTAGCAAGTCTCCTCAATTAGTACACTGACACACAATAAATCAGCTTGAATATTAATGATTATGTTGCTTGGATTTTTATGCAGTAAACTTGAGACAAAGAATTGTGGCGCGTAAGGCAAAAGAACGCTGATTACACAGAGGCGAAGCGACGATTCGCACAATTTGCAATACAACACAAACACGCATGACAACTAGCTGATAGAAAATTGGAAAAAAACCGTCATGTCTCGGCGTGGCCAAAAAATATGAATATTCAAAAGTATAACACCTATAAAAAAATTTCTTTTCCTTGTTATTAATTCCATAACTTTTTCAAAAACAAAAAAAACACCCGATCTTACCAAGTCTCTTCAATTAGTACACTGACAGATAATAAATAACCTTGAACATTAATGATTACGTTGCTTGGATTTTTATGCAGTAAACTTGAGACAAAGAGTTTTGGCGCTTAAGGCATAAGAACGATTATAACACAAAGGCGAAGCGACGATCCGCACAATTTCAATACAGCAAAAACACACATGACAATTAGCTGATAGAAAATCGGAAAAACACCGCCATGTCTCGGCGTGAACGGAAAATATGAAAATATAAGTATAACACCTTTAAAAAAATTTCTTTTCCTTGTTATTAATTCCATAACTTATTCAAAAACAAAAAAAACTATCACCAAAAAAACTGATTTTGTCTCAATAATTTTCAGTTTGATTTAAAAGGTAATTGATGACTCAATTTTTCAAGATCAAGAACTGTTTACACAGGTGAAGCGGAGCTTCGTACCACTTGAGACACACAACACAAAACTGAAACGGCAGCTAGCTGTAAAAAAATTGACAAAAGTCGAAAAAAATACCGAATAATTCAATTTGTTTGTCGCGAATGCGGTTCAATTTGAGAAAAATAGTGATAAACACAATTTCTGATTCAGAACATAGTCAACAAACATTTGGAAGGGAATCAATGAATGCAAAAAAAAAACAGAAAAAAACTGACTTGTTTTTCGAGAAATTCAAAGTCTAAAATATATGGCCTTTGAGCTCTTTCATTTTCACGAATAATTAAATATTGAATTTTCTGATAAAATTACTCAAATTGAGAACACTGGACAGTAAAATTTTCAGACCGCTGGAAAATCGGAAAATTTAAAATCGACTGTCGAAATAAATTCTTTTCGATCTTTTTTTTCGTTACATTGATACTTTTAATGTTCGACAGTGATGTTTGCCTTCCTTTTGAAAAATTAAATAAACTGAACTTAAGAACTCAAGAGTCTAATCGTTAAAAATATTTTTCAAATGAAAAACCAAAGTCGAGTGTGAACAATTTTAAGTGTGAATTCCGGAAAAAAAATATCACGACCTATATGATATACAACGTAGACTGACGCTTAAAAAGAATAGATTTTGATTTGAAAACGCTCCCTAGTCGCAAGAAACCTTCTAAAAATGATCCGAATAAATTTGCAGGAAACAAAAAGAGGCAAAACATCATAATTTAAACACTGTGCTTCTACAGGGTAGAATTGAACAAAGTATGCACTGACCTCTTTCAAAGCTTCCATCTTCAAACAAAAACTGATTCGTTAAAGGTTATCGGCGAACTGATTGATCATATTAATCAGGATGGTTAATTTTCAATCTTTGTAGGAGCAATCACACAACTGTGGGTTTAATTGGCAAAAATGTCATGCAGTTAATTCATGAGTTAGTCTTAAGCACCGCGTTAACTTTTTTTTCAGCGCGGCGGAGGCTCTAACAAAAGCCACAATAAATATTTAATAAGTTGATCAACGTATGAAACCATTTTTAAATTCTTCAAAATAAAAAATAACAAAAAATACCATCGAAGAGAAGATCGACCCTTTTTTGAAATTCCAGGACAATAAAACATCAATCAGTTTTTTCTTGGACTTTTTTTGAAATCGATTGATTCAAAAATGAAAATGTTAGATTATGATACAACAATCGACCCTATTTGACCTTTTTTGCGGTACTTGATTTGTCGAGGAACAAAAACCCCAGTAGAGGATTTAAGGGGGCGGACACCCCCTCAAGGATTCGATCCCCTGACTACCAAAGAATACCACTTTTTGGCATTATTTGACGACATTAGTTTTCGGCCAAGGGGCCGTTAACTTCTCTAAAGTACCTTCGACGTCAAAAAATTGGTTCAAATATTAAGTTTGAGGGGTAAATCTCACGCTAGAAAACGCAAGTTCTTTAGAAAAAAATCTTCCAAAAAAGGGCGGAGAAATTATTTTACAAATTGTGGTCTTTTTAGTGTTTTGGATAGATCTAAAAAAATCTTCCTCCCCTCTTTTGAAAAACCACTTGATCTAAAAAAAATTATACAACTTCTCATTCATTCTATAAAATTTTCGCACTGATTTATTTGTTGCAGATAGTTAAAAAAGAACGGTATATTCCTACAACTAGCAATGAAAAACATCTAAATTCCAAGTGCATTAATTGATTTTTCATAAGGGCTATAATTCTTGGAATGATTTTAAGTCCATTACATTATCTGTTAGACGATTTATGGTTAATGAAACAAGTCAACATTCACTACAGCTACGATACAAATGAAATGATATGATTAGATGCATACTCTATTGCGTGCAACTTGAATTTGAATATCGTCAGGCACAATCAACACGTTTCCTTCCGCTTGGATTCTCTGCTCCGCCGCTGTCAACCACTCGATCAACTCATCATTTTCAGCCTCAAACTCACTCAGGTCATCCAGGGTCCGTTCAAGGCCCTCACATGTGGTCTGGATTGCGTTTTCAAGGTCACCCAGGCTCTCGCGCATGTCCACACATGCATAGTACACTTCAGAAAAGACAGTGTCTTTCGAATCCCCAGTAAGTTGGGATCCAAGTTCGATGATGTGTTCGATTTGTGGAACTTGTTTCTCGATTGAGAGACTGATTTGCTGAACATGCAACAAACACAACACACAACATTGAATGCATTCCAATGAGCATACAAGAGCGATAACTAAGATTAGAAATTATACGCAATCAAAGCAAGCAGTTATATAAGAATAAAAAAAAATGCAGTTTTATTGTTTTGACAATATTTTGAGCCTTGTTTTTTATAACGTTTCTAACTCAAATCTGCATCTATTGCAATACTAAAAACAACATCAATAGAAGCCGTTTATTTAAACAAATCATCAAAATCGTTCCTGAATCATTTCATATACATGCATGTCATGCTTAACGGTTTGGAATGCTCGAACTTGAACTAAACGCTCACTGTTCCATTTACTAATGATCATGCATTAAATAGATAACACTGCATGAAGTTATCTAGACTAGCAATCAATGCCAAGTATTTTCTGAAATGTCTGACCTCCATTTGTTGCATCTGCCTCTGGATGGTTTCTGGATCTATGCTTCCATGTCTACTGATCGAGTCGATTTCCTTCATCTTCAGGTTCAGCCAGTCTCTTAAGGGGTTCAGAGTATCGAAGAACTCCCTAAATTACGCTTTTTAGATGATTTTTAGACTTGCATTCACAAAAAGTCTGAAAGAATCATGTGTTCATATAAACTGTTTTTCAAAAATCAAACAAAATAAAAAACGACAAATTTAAATATTTGTGTCTGATTGAATTTTGAGAGACTCACTTAATCTGAGCTGCATTCTCGTTGTACATAATTTTATTGGCTGATAGATTCTCCCTTGCATTTTCCAACACATGTTTCAGTTCCTCGAAATTCGCTGACTCTCCCAGTTCCGGGAATTGGGTCACTTTCTGTTCAGCCTCGTCGAGCGCAATTTGGAACCTGTTCAGCAGTTCTTCTTGCATCTGAAACGTAAATAAACAACTGCATCTAATTTTAAACATCCCATTCGAGTTTGCATAAAATCAACTTTCAAACGATCTTTTATTCGCCAGTAGAATTGTGCTATTCACCAGTAAAAGTTGTGCGCACTGCCATTTTGACCATCAACTTTAAAATAAATAAATGAAAAGCGATTGCAACGACTGTATAGAGCATATATATTTTAAATATCAATGTCGTTCACAAATTTGGCACAATCGGAAAGCACTGAATGTTACCTGTATAGTGTCAGCTACACAAGTGTGCAGTTTTGGTGCGGCAAACATGAGGTTAACGTCTGTCCTCAGTTCCTCGTGCTGTGCAATGGCCTCCGAGAGACACTTCACACCCTCTGGGATGTACTCTTCCGGCTGGGCGAAGAATACAGCTGCAGTTTCAAGTCGAGAGTCCATTTGCTAAACATGAAACTTATTTAAAGTTAAATCTTCTTAAATACAAGTTTTTTCATTTCGGTGGGTGATTCCTGTCCAGAAAATAGAAAAATAGTTTTTTTTATGGCTGTTCACTAAAAAGCGCCCAACTTGAGTTGAGATGAATTGAAACTGGGCATAAAATAAAATGAGAGGCATTTCTCAAAAACGTTGAGCTACAAATATTGAACATCAGACCTCAAAATTCTCAAATGAACCAAGAATTACAGACTTGATCAAGTAAGCTCGCAAAAGAAAATTGAAACACAAAAAGTCATCTTCAACAATGAGCAGATTTTTCCATTTTAAGAAGCCAAATACCAATCCATTCTCACCTTGAACAGCGCCGAATTAGCCGACTGTATGGCATTCTCCACCATCTCCGCCACCAGCTGGTCACTAGAATTAGTCCTGTCTCCCATCGATGACGTCATTGTGCGTCTGCTGTCCTCCCTCATCAGGAGTCGCACTCCATCCGATGATACACTGCACACAGTGTTGGCCAGGGTGTCCAAGTTGGTCATTTTGTTCTCCTGCAAAAATCATTCAGGTACAAAACAGTTACACTTTGGGCTATTTCCTGTCATAAAATATTATCCCATGTCCAAACACTTCTTCAGCAATTATTGGACCTAAATAGCGAAAAAGCATTGACGAGTATTTAAATTTGCTGTACTTTTAAACACAGAGGCCAAGCAGAGCTTCGCAAAACTTGCGATGCAGAAAAATCGATTACAATTGAAAAAGTCGTTTTGCGAGTTTTTTAAGAAGCAGTGAAACAATTATAAAATTATGCAGGCAAAAATTTTAATCTGTTACCAAATAATATTTTAACCATGATTGCACTGCGTTAAACTGTTCAGAAAAAAAGCGATAAAATCATTTGTAAGTTGAAAATGGTGAAAAATTCGAAAATCTATATTTTTCTAAAAAGACGAATTAATTTAAACACCAAACAATTTTACTAAAAAAGCTTATAGCAAATGACGAGCTGCCAATAAGCCAATAACTCGAAGTAAGATGCCCATTGAACGGAAAACAAAAAATGCCAAAAAATGCTGTCCTAGAAAAATTTCGAATAATGAAGTTATAAAACTTGAAAACTTGCAAAACAAACTACCCTAATTTTTTCAACAACAAACAATCAACCATTTTTTCTCTTGGTGTGACCCAAAATAAGTTAACTCAGCCAACAAAACTTAAAGCTGAAACCATTTAGGCCGAACAAAGCTTTTAGACGAAACAAAAACGAATATCAAGGAAAACATCCTATGCCAGGGCTATTCAATTTACAAATTACAAGAGTTAACTAAGAAAATTTGTATCTACGATAAAAAAAAAGCTGACAAAAGAAGAAAATAGCCAACAGACAGTTGTACAAAAAAGACGAACATAATTTTCTTAAGAAATCTCAACCTACAAATTTCAAAGAACAAATTTCAAAGAACCTACAAACAATTTATGATTGACACTTTTATTGATAAAATTAAATCAATTTGAGAAAGCTGAATCAAAAGGTACAATTTTTTATTTCGCTGGAAAATTCGAATAAATAAATTCCTCTTTCGTAACTAGAAGTCGATCACATTTTTTAAGAACTTGCCTCAAGTTCTGAATATACTTTTGCAGTTCGATTGCGGAATTTGCCTTCCTTTTAAGGAAATGGACTGAACTTAAAAAGAAATCAAAAGTCAAACCGCGGAAAAGTAATTTCGGGCCTGAACAAATTTTAGGACTTTTCCTGAAAAAAAAACTAATAAAACAATCGCGACCTTTTTAAGATTCTGAACTACGTTCATCGACTCTAAAAATTCTCCGATATGGCAACTAAGCTGACAAAACATAAACAGACAAACGAAAGTACAAAAATTCACTTTTCCCGAAAAAATTACTGAAAAAATAATGTCCGGCCAGGACTCGAACCCAATACCTTAGGGTACGCCAAGTGAGAAGTAGTCTCGAAGTTGCGTAAGAAAAAAGTCTAGTTCCCGATTATAAAACACCTGCTTTCTCAAGTCTAAAGACTAATTGAACTAGCTAACATATCATTACGATGCTAATTTACACCAAGTCATCAACATTTTTTTCAGAGACGTAAACTTACATCTAGAGCAATGGCAGAATCTCGGGCTTCCTTCACACTTTGCGGATGTTTGATCGCCTCCAAAGCCTTCTCACTAGCTCCACAACACTCTTCGACCTTCCCTACATTACTCTTCAGACTCTCAAAAGTCTTCATCGCATTTTTATTCCTCAATCTAGCTTCACTTAACTCTGATTCCAGATTTTCAAATTCAGCTGAAAGATAAGTCACATGCTGTGTCAAAACTAACTCGCTGATTGGATAATTTTTACTCTTAGCGGAGTCAATTTCGCCCATAATGATACTCAAATCAGAGTTGCAGTGACTGATATTTCCACCAATTTCATCGAACTTAGATTCAATTGATTCACAGACAAGTATGCTAGCTCCGACATTTCCAGAAACTGCGTTCAGCTCATCTTGCGCGGCATTGAGCAAAATTCCCAAATCTTCAAGTTTCTTGTTGATTACTTTTGTTGTTTCAGATCCAACTACGTAAAGTTTCAACCGTTCATCAATTTCTTCGTTCAATTTGTTCACATCTGTCTGCAGTTTTTCTACGTCTTGAACTAATCCATCTTGCTTACAACTTTCGGGAATCGCACAATCGTCAAAAGCGTGTTTTAGCTCCTCAAGTTTTTCTTTCATTTCTGAGCAGTTAGTTTGCAGATTGGTCAAGACTTTGAGTTGCACCTCTCCTGTTTCCTTCTTTCGCATTGATTCCGCTGATTCTTTCACGAATGCCAAATCGTTGTACACTTGCATTATTGTCTCATTGTGATTGGCTAGTTTCTTCAGCAAGTCTTCGCCAATCACGGCTTGGTCTTCGACTGATTGCTTCAAATCTTCCCACCGTTGTTTTAATTGGTCGACTTTCGAGTCGATAAGTTCGTAGTCTTTGTCGGCATTTCGTAGCAGTTCGGGAACCAAGTCGTCAATCAGGGTTTCTTTCTCTTGAAGGTGCGAGTCAAGCTGCTTGTTAAACACCTAAAAATAATCTTTTTCAATCGAAAGATTTCAATCGCATAAAGCTTAACAAAAAATGAAATCGAGATCATAAAAATGGAAAACTAGCCAACAGAAATTTGCAAAGGTGTCAATGAACAAAGGTGTAAATTATATTTTCGAAATTCAACTTCATTAATCTTTTAAGCTTGACACATTTTTATGATTGAAACCAACTCAATTAGAGAAAAGTGGGGCCAGTAAGTAATTGTTTTTTCCCTGGGAAATTTTAAAATTCAGAGTCTCCTTTCGAAATTAAAAGTCAATCACGTTTATTCGCGCCACTTGCACTTTCACAACTGACTGAACAAAACAAACGCAATGACTTCAATCTTTGACCAATTGAAAAAAAAAAATCGCCGACGGTTTAATGACTTTACGCTAGGATGCTTTGCTTACTCACCTTCAAGCTCTGAATGTAAGTCTCAATTGAGTACGAGTCCAGATGACCCAGCTCAATTTGCGCTTTCTTGACCTCCATCTCAGCAAGCCACTGACTCAACGTCTTCACAGTCTGATCCACCGCACTGGCTGATGACGTCACGCGCTCTATTTTCTCCCTCTGGACAGTCACTAGTCCCATATTTTCCTGCCAGAGAGATTTCAGCTGAGCCAGTTCACTTTGTAACACCATCGAAGAGTCCGTATTGAGGGTTCCATCTGTTGAGACGATCTCGTCACCCGCTCGCGACAACTGGGTAACGACTTCTTCTTTGGCCACGAAGTTTCGGAATCGTTGTTCGTGTGATAGCACTTCTGATTTGAGAGTTTCAAAGTCAGCTGAAAGCTGAACTGACTTGGGTTGGTTTTGACTCCATTGATTCAGCCACGCGACTGTTTCGGCAAGCGAGGATGAGAACTCGGTCATTGTGACGAGTGAACGATTTAGTTTCTCGTTTCTTAATTCTAAAATAGTGGAGAGTTTAATCAAAACAGGGTGTCTACCGTTTATAGAATGGAACACATTGAAGTCATGAAAGCCTACATATTTGATCAAAATAGGGCATAAATGTCAACGTGCGTCAATACGGTTCCAGAAAATTTCTCAGTTTCAGAATTCAGTTAGACATTAAAGGGTACAGCTTCGCTTGCTATACAGGATTTCATCAAACTTCTTTGATTCCATCAAGCACTATTTCAAAGAGCAGACGAAAGTACATACCCAGAGCCTCGGCCAGGTCATAGAATGGCACTGAGATGTTCTCAATTAGTTCGGCTAATTTCTTCTTCTGTCTTCTGCTCTCACTCATATCGGTCAGTAGCAAGTACGCGTCATTGGCTTCGTTCAACTTCATCTTCTTCTCTTCCAGTTCGGATTGAATTCTCTGAAAAAAATCTAATTGTTAATAGATTCCTTCAAAAACCCAAAGATAATACTTTCACATATATCGACTTATACTTTCTGAATTGTTTTGACTGATATGTTTTAAATTTTCTTAGGCTTCTCAAAATACAAGAAAATGAGACTAAATTTGCTGAGCTGTTACTTAAGAAAATAACAGAAATTAATTTTAAAATTATCCGCCCACCTGTATCTGCTCCAGCTGTGTGTTGATCGATTTCACATCCAAGTGGAGAATAGGCATTGCCTTCATCTTCTCATTCGTCGCATTCAGCCACTTCTTCACGTCGGAGAGTGAGTCGTTCAGCTTCGAACTCTCCCTCAGGGCTGATTCAGCCAACACCATCCTGTCTTTGATTCTGAAACGGACCAAAAAAGGCTCTCGTTAAAGCCATTTCATGGGCTGAGAAGAAACTGGGGAGTTGATCGCTTTTCCCCAGTATTGAGTATAAAATAGTTTGCCTACATCAAAATTCAAACTCAAGAGTAAAGTGAATAATCATATAAAAACGATTAGGCGCTTGGCTCCAGTTGGTCTTTAACTTGACCTTAAGCACTTTTGAGTTCCAACAAGAAAAATTTAATTTAATCAAGAGTTCAGCGTACCTGTTTTGTAGATCCTGCCAAGTCTGCGTGACGAGTGTCATCTTCTGTTTCACTGTCGACTTGGATCTAATTGGCGCACTCAGGTGAAGCTGCATGGTCTGAGCCAGCTGCACGAACTGATCCAATCTCACTTGCTTCGTCGAAAAGTCCACCTCCAGAATCTGGACACAAAACACCAGAATCACTCAAAAATCAATTTCAAACAAGTCTCCAAAATTGAAACATATTTGAAAAAAAACTTGGATAAACAACAAAGTTAAAAAATGTTTTTTGTTAAAGTGGGATCTAATATTCCTACTACAAAAGCAGCAAACCAAATAGCCCAGATCAAAAATTTACCAGATAAAGTGAACAATTAACTGATTTTTTAAACCTTTAGCTGTAGTTTGAGCTGTGTGAGTTGGTCCTGTTGGACCCCGATGAGTCCCAGATGGTTGATAGCTGTCTCCTTGGTCTGCAGCCAGCCCAGCAGTTCTTCGTGCATCTCCTCGAAAGAGGCCACCTGCTGGTCAACCAGCTGAAGAAGGGATAGTTTTTCACGGGATCTCTCCACCAGGTGGTTGTATCTGAACAAGGAAATGAACTAGTTTACCATTATCGGTTTCTTCAAAACCTTCTTACTATAATTTTTTTACGCCGATTAGAAATTCGTAAATATAGCCGAGAGCTAGTTAAAAAAGAGTCAATGAACTCAAAAAAAACGCACAAAATTTTTTTCGAAATACGGGAAAAAAATTATCACGTTAAAACTCAAATTTTGAGAATCAATTAAAATAATTTTTTTTCACCAAACGAATCAATTAGAGGATAGCCGGTTACTGTGCAAGATGCACAGAATGCTCATGGCCATAGTCTGAAAAAAATAAACAAACATTTTTTTTCGAATAAGAGTCATTTCTCGGCGTGGTGTGATAAAACGAAATCTGAACGAAAAACTAGAGCTTAACTAGGTAAAATAAGAGTAGAAAAACAAAAAAAAATCAAAAAAAAATCGCATCAATTTTTGAAAATTTTTGATTTCAAAAAGGTGAGAAAATACTTTAAAAAACAAACTTTTCTCGAGTAATACAAAATTCTTACTGCAAGCTTATTTATTTGCTCGAATTACGACGAAAAATAAATAATTTCAAAGCGGTTTTTCTCGACACTGGGAAAACTTTTTCGAAATTTTTAAGGTCGTTCAAATCGCGACTGAAAGGGCTGTAACATGATAACTCATTCAACTCTCTCCGATGATTCTTTGTGGTAGCTAATTTTGCGTGGGGAAAAAGGAAAAAAACTGAAACACATCCAAATACAAGGTTCCTCCTCATTTTTCAAATGGTCGGAACAAAAACAGATCCAATGACTAAACTTTTTATTCCGCCGCCAAATCTACTGATCAAAATCCACTTCGGAAACAAAGTAAATAATTTTTTTTGTGCGCATTTTGCCTTTTTGTTTTTGGAGAGCAAAATGTGCTTTCTTTTTAACAACGAATTTGAATTTAATTAAACATAGCCAACAGATGGTCCCGCTATTTTAGATGTATGGTCGCCCTATTTTTGATGAGTCCCATTCAAAAACTAGTTCAGAAAAATTGTCCCGCCAGACTCTTTGAAATATACTTGAAGTACTTCAAGTGGATGAAAAATAAAAGGAAAAATTGTAAACAGCGATTTGTTAGATTTACCACGTAAACTTCTTTAAGATTTATCAAAAACATCGATTCACTAGCATAATTTAGAACCTTTTCTTTTCTGGCTATCTTTTATATTGGACCAAAGGTAGTTTTTTGGGACCATATTTTGGTACCCAACGAGTGCCGATGGTTGAAAACGTGTAGAAGAACAAAGAAACCAAAAAGTTAAGACAATTTTTCAAAAATTAAAACATGTTAAAAATCTTTGAATTTCAAACAACTGTTTATGAGTGACGTCCAATTTAGAAAAACAGAGTACAAAAAGTTGAAATCGGCTGGGAATTCAGAAAAATTAAGTCCATTTGTAAAACTAACAGTCGATCAAGTTTTTCGTGACGCAGAGGAAATGTTGGCTCTTTTCCAGTTTCAAACTCCCCTCGTAAAAATACAAAATAAAAGTGGTTTGAAAACTTTTCACACGGCATTTGCATGTAAAAAATTATGTAAAAGTTTGTTCACTTGTTCCCGCTGACACGTTTTCATGCATTTCATACCATTAAAAGTCATTTTAAATAGATATCATTTATTGGATTTCAGAAAAAATCAAAGGGGGGAACTGGAAAAGCGCCGAAATGTTAATAAAGGAAATGAACTGAACTTAAGAAAAAGTCACACATCAAAATGCAAAAACTCAAAACTGAGCGTGAACAAACTTCAGGACTTTTCCTAAAAAAGCGAAAAAAAATCATCACTACCTATAGAAGCGAAGCACACTTTTACACTTTATAAACATGGAGAAAATTGTATGATTGAAATTACAATTACGAACCTGTCAACCAAGGAGTCCACATTTTTGCTGACCAAACTTGCTCCTTTGGATTCTGGTGGGAGACTCTGCATTATCACACTCAGTCTGGCCGGAAGCTGTTTAAGTCTGCACACCGGATGACTGGAATCATCTGATCCGTCATTCAGAGACTGATAGAACTTTTTCTGGTTGGTAAGTTGAGACTGGATAGTTTCCAAAGACATAAGAGAAATGGGTTCGGCATGACTCATGTTGTTTTCCTTGTCTTCGAGCCAGCGGGTTACCGAACGCATTTCCAGGAAGAATTCGTTTGTCTGAAACCAGTTTTGCAATAATTTTTTTTTCAACTTCTCAACTTCTCGTTCAAGCCTAGGCCTACTTTTTCTTTGTTTGATCATGTATAGCATTGACGATCGTGCATTTAACTAATTCCAGAAGCATAATCCAAACCTGTTTTAGAAGGTCATTAATGACTGCCTTTCTCTTCAAAGCAAGGTCTTTCACGTGATCAAACTCCTGCTTGGTGTTGTCTGCTTCCAATCTGAATTTCTCAGCCTCATGACGAACCTCTATTTCTGAAACATTATCCCAACTGTAAATGAATCTTGTTAAAATTAATACAACAACTCGCTTCATTAAAAAATTACTGATTGCCTAAAGTGAAAATATAGACTGATCCAAAGATTATAATTTTTTGTTCTAGAGCAGTGATTAGATTTTTAAAAACCTTGACGTGACGGGGTTTTGCTCTTTTTGTCCTCGGTACCTTCTGTCCCAGTCTTCGATATCTCAGCAGAGGTCAAAAGGTCATTGATCTCTCTGCTACATGTCATCAATGCTTCAACTTTGGGCTCGAAGTAACTTAGTTCTTCCATGCAGGGCTGAAATTAAACACAATTTTCATATTTAATTTCCTTCCATTCAGGTATTTTCTAAATTGTGGAATCCCGTGATACGCAAAAGTAAGCCAGCAAAGCGCGCAGCATTCAAAGCGTTGAAATTCGTCGGATAAAAAAGAAATCTTCTTGAAAATATTTCCTGACTTACTTCTAGCTCGTCGTTCAGTTTTGTCAGTGAATGAGGATCGATACTGGGCACCTCCCCACAGCCCAAAAACATCCGCTTGCTGTGCAGAAACTGCTCACAGGATTTTTGTGACTTTTCAAACTGTTTCAGAAGTTCCTCCAGTTTTGTCAATTTCAAAGCCTTATCGTTGCGCAGAGTCAACAAGTCGTTGTAAGATTGTTGACAATTGTTCAAGTTCTCTTTCAGACTGGGTTGAATGGTTTCTTCCTGGATGAAGAGAGGGTCTGAGAGGACATCCTTAACCTTGGAATCGAGAGCCTCAATTTTGTCAGCTTGAGTTTGCAGTTCTGGTGAAGAAGACTGAAATAGAGTTTGAAATTGCAGATACCCTCCGTTGAATCCGGCCTTGGACAGATGACGGTAGTCGTTTTCAGCATACAGATAAATTTATTGCTCAAATGAAACATTTCAAGTTGATTTTAGAAGTTTTTCCAGAGAGCTTTGAGTTTTTCGATTTTAGTCTGCGTTTGCGTCTATTTTGAGTCTGCGTTTGCTATTCATCTTAATAACTGCTTTCAAGTTATAACAAGGATAGCCGGTTGCTGAGCAAGTAGCACAGAAAGTTCCGGCTATATTCAAAAAAAAAATTCAAAACAAAATCAAGGTTTTTTTTTAGTTTTTGTCTTCAAATTAGTGTCGTTTTTAGGGCGTGAGTGACTCGAGAACTATACAACGCATAAAAACTTAGTGAGTTCGACATAATCGACAACATTTGTCATGAATAAATGAATGACAAACAAAAATTGAATGACAAACAAAAAATGAAACAATTTGTATTTTTTTTTTCATTTTTTGCACAAATTTTTAGTTTTTAAAATATTAAAAAAAAAAATCTTTATTGCCAGGAAAGCACTATATTAAACATCCAAAACCCAGTTTTTTTAAATAGTAAAACTAGGTTTTAATTTTGAACCATTGATCAGAGGGTGTTCAATGATCGGCACAATTATGAAGCATGTCAGGAAATAATTTAATTCAGCTAACCTGCAATAATTTGTGCAATTTTTCGAAATGAGCTTCGGTCATCGGCACTTTGTTCAAGTCATTACTTTTCTCCGCTAAGCACGAGTTAACTTCTTCTATTTCATTTTCAACTGAATTCCACCTCTTCAGAAGTCCAGTTATGTCTGCTTCGGCTTTCTGACACTTCGACTCAAGGGACTCGACCGCTTCTTTCTTCTCTTGCTTGAATTCACGGGAGAAATCACAAGAGGCGATTGCTTGATGCATCTGAGGCAACACATTTTGTGCTTCCTGAAATCAATTCTCGAAGATGACCGACTAATTCAAATGGGCCTTATCTATAAAGGCCTTCCAGAAAAGTCAGAAATGAATCGGCAACTATTTTTGTACTTCAATTAAGGAAATCAAATATTAGATGGTCTCCACGTTTTTAAGAATCTATCGATTGGTCGCCCTTCATGAAATACCAATTTTCACCTTAGGAATGACATCTGTCGTTAAACATTCGGTCGATTAAAAACACGCACCCTTAATTGTCGAAGACACTCCACGATAGCGTTCTTATTCGGCGGCATCTTTTCGCACCTCAATACACACTGAGTGACTCCAGCCAATTTTTCAGACACAAACGCTTCCCTCTCTTCTGGAGTCTTTTGAGCCAATTGCGATGACCTGGTCTCTCCCATTGTTTTGTTCAGTCGGTTCAGAAGTTTGGCATGCTTCGTTTTCAGCAATTCTAAAGATGCATACTCTATTTTGTTAAATGGCCTCCAAATCAATTAAGTCTATTGGACTCATCTAACGACTTTCTGAAGCAAAAAATTCGAACTGCATTGCAAAATACAAAAAAAAATAGAAGAAAACACTAGCTGCAAACAAATTAAACATGATTACATTTTAGACTATTTTAGAAGAATAACATTTTTGTCTGAAAACATCTTTTTAAATGCTGCTAAAAATTCGAACCATATGATTCTTCGAGATCCTTTTCACTGTTAATTACGCCCTTTTGTTTCATCTCCTCAAACTTTCCCCTGAGATTTTCAACCGCTTCCAAGCTTGCACTCATTGCCAACACATCATCAATCTGAGCTTCCATTTCGTCCAGGGCATCATCCAGGGATTCCGGAGGATCCAGAACCAGTGATTTGAACGTCTTCTCGGAACCTTCAAGTTTGGCGCCTAAAGTTTCGGCTAAATTGTCGAATTCGGCCAGGAGGTTGTTCAGCTTCTCGGGCTCTTTGTCTGCTTCTTCGCATAACTTGAGCAAGTCATTGTATTTGACACTCAATAGTTGATATTTGGTCTCGAATGAAGTGTGAATGGGTGATGGTGGTTTCTTCAGGCTTTCTTGGTGCACTTTTTTCATGCTATTCATTTCTTCAGCCAGCACGTCTCGGTTGTATTTCTAGAATAACAAAAGTTTAATTCATGTCTAATATGCTGATTTATTTTATAGCTTAAAGTAACATAACGGAGGCCCAAGTGGCAATCAGCGAATTATTCCTAATACGGGTTCGGAGCAGAGCTAAAAATTAAAGCATTACAGAAGCTTTTGCCAGTGTACAACCGCTGAGAACAATCGACGGTAAGAAAACTGCGACCTTGTGTACGCAAAATCAAACCAGGATTTATTCCGGAAAACGCAAAAATCGGATTTTGTTAATAAATAAAACTTTGCAAATTTTACGAATTACTAAGTGATAAAAATTAGTTTTAATTCGGGTAAACATTTAGCGCTTACTTGGCAATTGAAATTTTCATTTGTTTCGTTTTTTAATTTTGTTGTCAATTTTTCAAATACAATTATTTTCGATTATGTCTAATTCACTAACGTGTTACGCGGAAGTATAGCTCTCGCATTACAACAAAAAGAACCGAAAAGAAAAAAACCTTTTTTGTATTTTCCATGAGTATTGTCGGAACATTCTGTGCTACTTGCATAGCAACCGGCTATCCTTGTTCCGTTTTTTAAACTAAGTGCAAAATGATTGAAATTTGCGTAAAATTCCAAACCCCCATAACTTTAATAAAAATGGTCGCAAGTGCAGTATGAGCGCAAGACATCAATAGCTTTAGGATGCTATTCAAAGAATCCCGTCAAAAACTCGAAAGTTGTCTGGAGAAGAAAAAAACACCTGAGTAGAACCATTTCGTTAGTTTCTCCGAAAGTTGGAACAAAAAAATTGTCCTTAGATCATACGAATAAAAAAAATAACAAATCTTCAAAAAAAAAAACATTGCGAAATTTCTTGGAAACAAATTACCAGCACCATTGCAGAAACTATCAAAAAAATTTTCAATAACGCGTGCTAATCGCAAGGGTAATTAGTCAAAAATCAATGAAAATGGTTCAAAACGCAAAAAAAGTCGGTGCTGTGGAAACAAAGCAGACAAGGTAAGCGGACACACAAGCCCAAATTATTTTTTCTAGCGGATAACACAAGTTCTGGCCTGATGCGAACAATGCACCTTAGTCCTTGCAGTCGTGGAGCTTAACCTGCGCGAAATCGCAGAATATGCCGCTGAATTTGATTTTATTTTCAATCAGGTGATCAAATGATTTAGTGATTCTTATAGACAAGCTGTTAACCTGAGAAAGTATATGTTCCGATTTCAAGCGTAATTAACCATTCATAAAAAGCGAACTAACTTTTATGTTTTTGTCATAGTCACTTAGTTCGTTGTGAATTTTGTCCAACATGTCGTTTCGATTCACAATTTCCTCCAACTGCTCACTTCGAACGGCCGAAACGTCATCGAACTTATTCAGCCAATCAGAAAATAGTTCAAGATCATCTTTCAACTGGTCGGCTTCTTCCATGTACTGATTAATAGAATCTGTTCGGTTGTCGATTTGGTCTTTGAAGTCGGAAAGTTTCTTCGGAAGAGATTCCAGGAGCACCAGAAGTTTCTGGTCGGAGTCTCCGGTGGTCTTTCTTTGGGACGCAAGGACTCCAACGGTAGCGACGCGTTTCTCCATATCACGTTGCTTGGCGGCAACTTTGGCCCCCACTCTCTGAAAAACAAATCAATCCAAATAACCAAGATATTATGTTTTTCAAATTCAAAAGAATGTGATTTTCGAACAAAATTTATTTGCATTATCTAGGCTTTCGAAACAGCAATGTCTAAATTTCTAAATTCTAAATTTATGTTAAATTCTAAAATGATCTGAAAATTAGTTGGTGGGGACTATAAAAAGCCAGTTCTTTCACTTAGATCAATTTAATATTATTTATAGTTTTTATTAAGAGATTCTACTCACCTCAAGAGCCTCCTTGGACACCTTGAGGTCTCCAACTTCCCCACTGAGTGGCTTTAGCAGACTTAGCTCCCTCTGCTGCGCATTGAGCCACACAACAGTGTCGTTCAACATACTCTCGCAATCACTTAGTACCAGGTCCAGCTCGGCCTACAAAAACGATACATATGCAATCACAAGGAGAACAAAATAAATAAAAAATTTTGCATTGTGCCAGAATCGAACCAACGACCTGGAGATTACGAGTGTCACATCCTCGCTTCGCAAACACGAGCGAGAACACGACAAAAAGCAGCTCTAGAGTTCTAGAAAGTGCAATAAGAAAAAGTAAAAATAAACCTCGAATTAGTAAAAATTCGGCGTCTCGGACTCGAACCCACTGCAACCTAGAAATTATGATTCTTACACACTACCCACTTAGCCACGGTTACTAAATCCATCACAAAGACTAGCCACAAAAAAGCCGACAACAGATGCTATGAAATTTCCAATGCTACAGATCGTGATTATAGCAAAAAGGCACACAAGTGAACACTTTCATTTGCGAATTAGGTTAGAAATGAAGACGGTTCGTACTGAAACACTAGCTGCTCACTTGCGTAAAAACGAGACTCCTCAGACAAATAAGCAGATACACTAATATATTTTTTAAAATATTTTAGATTTCAAAAAAGCAGCCCCTGGTCGAAATCGAAAACAGTACTTTTGTTGACCCTATCTGTTGTTATTTGTGCGCCAAACGAGCAAATTTAATAACTGCAACTTGCTATACTACTGCAGTAATTAAGCTGATAGAATCTGTGATAAATACAATTGCTTATCACAAGTGTATTGAAACATATTGGAGTATCCCAATACCGTCGGTTTATAGATACATACTGCAATACAAATTCTCATGTTGACTGAAACAACTCAACCTCAAATACAATTGAGATCCAAAAAAACATACATAGCAAAAATTCACTATGTTTTGCAAGATGTTTCCGCACCATTGCAAGCGCAGCATTGCAAGCTGGCGAATAGAAAATGAGACAAAGCAACAAAATTGACAAATGATTAGGCGCCCATTGAGCCGAAAACATAAGGATGCCATAAGAAACTGTTGTCATATAAAAGTTTTGCGCAATTAAAATTTAAAACGCTGAAATCTTGCAACAGAAAATACCTGCTATTTTCAGAAACAAATCAATCACTTTTTGCCTTTGAAGTGACGCAAATAAAAGTAACTATAGGGAAAAAACTAAGCAGAAACCATTTCGGTCGAACAAAGCTTTCAAGCTAAAAAAAATTCAGGAAAATACACAACGAAGGGGTTTTAATTTTACAGGATTTTAAATTTACAGGAGTACACCAAAAATCACATGCATCTATGATGAAAACTGCTGACAGCACAAAAAACTCTACGATGCGGCAACTAAGCTGACAAAACATAAGCAGAAAACGAAAAGCCGATAATTCAATTTCTCCCTGACAAAAGTTTCATTTTCATACTGAACTTGATTCTTGAAATTGGCAATCTTTAAACCACATAACTTTACAAAAAATGATCACAGGTAAAATCTCTTTTCAAATTTAGGCTCAGGACAACAATAAGTTTCGAATGATAAAAAAAATCCACAAAAATGGCTAGTTAAAAAGTCGAAATTTGTCAGAAGAAAAAACCCACCTCGAGCACAGGGGCGGATCTAGGATTTTCTCGAGGGGGGGGCGGATTTTCAAAAAATTTTCGAAAATTTTGACGACCTTTTTTTTTAAGTCGATCAGATTGATTTTCCGAGCTCTCCCAAAGCAATAAAAAGACCCTGTTTTGGCCAAATTTTCTGCGCCGCAGGCAATTTTTTGAAAAACCAGGTCAAAAAAGCCGTTTTGGGCACTTTTTGGAAAATTTTGACAAAAAAATCGCGTTTTTTTTTGGCGCGCGCTCCCCCTCAAAATAAGTATATATTGGCGCCAAAGGCGCCTTTAGAAAAATTTTAGGGTCGGTCGGCCAAAAATGGATTTCTTAAAAAGTACCAAAGGGGGGACCCTTTGGGTTGGCAGGGGGTCGAATCCCTGAGGCGGGGGGCGTCCGATCCCCCCCCGCCCCCCCTAAATCCGCCCCTGCTCGAGCACAAATATTCCGTTTCTTTCGGTACAAAAGGCGGAACAATAGCATTCCAGATGAAAAGTTTTAACCCTTAACATATCGATAAAATTTCCGCATTATTCAACGACTAAGTTTGACTTAAACTCACATTCTCCTTCTGTCTGTGTTTTTCCTTCTCAATTTCGCTTTTCACATTGTTCAAGTTAGCACTGGACACATCATAGACCGAGTCAAATCCAGATGACAGACGACTGATTGAGTCCCGAATGTGTCTGGCCTGTTCCGGCGAGAGATACTGACTCCGTTTGTCCAGCAGGATCTGCATGTCACTCACTGCGTCATTCAGAGATCTCTTGTGGTCTGTGATTGCGTGGTGCAGTTGCTGAATAGCCACAAAACAATTGTACATATAGACAAATTGGCAGTAATTCTTTTTTTCACATTAAATGGAAAATCGCAAAAACTTAAGACTAAAAGTTTAATTTTATCAAATATTAAAAACTCATTTTTGGATTGAAAGATCTGAGAAATTTGTAGGGTACACAGAAATCGATATCAGCCAAATGTACTCGATAAACCATCAATTTAGCGTACCTTCTGCGTATTGTTCGCTGCACTCAGACCTTCCAAGTCAATTTTGTCCTTGTTAAATAGACTGAATGCCAATTTACTCTCCACACTCTTGAGCCACTGGTCATACTCGATGGCCATAGTCATGCACAGTTCATACTCCGCTTCTGTCTCCCTCATGTCTGTCGAAGAGATGGACTGAAGCGACGAGGCCGGGCTCAACAGTTCACCGGAGGTCGCAGAAGTCAACTTAGCCGATTTGACATTGATTGGCGATTTTTCAACTGTTTTTGTCGTTGAAGGTGATGATTTAGCGACTAAAACTAACTAAGTTTTACAAATTTCGAGACACCTACTTCGACGCAACAATAATTCTTAAGTTTCACCATTCAAATCAAGGTAATTTTAACCTACAACCCGTCTTTGAAGCTTAAGCCCAAACATCAAAGAACTATAACCGCCATAGAAATCAGCTGGATACAAAAAAAGGACAAATTATCCAATAGATTCCAACACCATTAAGCAATCGATGATTTCTAAGTGAGAACAATTGACCAATTTCAGAAATGACGCATGAGACAACTTTCATGACTAGCGTCAAATGAGCGCAATATACTTTAGTCTAATCCACAGCATCTCTAAAAATAACATCTCAGATGAAATCCAGCTAACAACTTGAGTGAAATTGAAATTGAAATCTTCCAAACCTTTCACTTTTGTAGGCTCTGTTCTTGAAGCCGCTTTCTTACTGGTTGTAACGACACTCTCTTTCGTCTTTGTGACCGGTTTCGACGAAGTTGGACTTTCAGCTTTCGTCGTTTTTTGACCAGAAACCGCTGGTTTTCTGCCAGCTGTTCCCACTGATTGCTGAGACGATTTCTTCTGCTGTATTTTCGGGATGTTAACCTGCGTCGACGGAGCCTTCGCTGCCGTTCCGCCTTTTTCTGGTTTCTTTACCAATGGCTTTGCAATTGTAACCTTACTCGGCCCTTTCCTTTTCGGTTTATCTTCTACTTTCGGCTTCGTGCTTGACCCAACCGAACTCGCCAAGCTTTCAGAACTCGAGAACAGTTGCTCACACATTTCTGACGTAATCAGTCCTCGTTTCACAGCTTCACTAGGTCGAACTATAGATTTAGTCTTCTGATCGATTACGCCAGCTACTCCAAATGTCTGGCTCTGAGCCGGTCCTTCCAAGGTGCTTGGATCCTCAATCAGTCCTTTAGAAGCTGCGGTGGTCGGTGTTATAAACAGTTTAGTACTTGGATCATAAACTACTGTTTCTTGGATGTCGCTCAAATCAGCAGTTGAATTTGACGCCATCGACATATTTTCAATCTGCTCAATTTCTTCGCTTCGTTTGTCTTTTGAGTCTTCAATTGATTTCATGTACGTTTCAGGGTCGAAGGTTGAACAAATTATGGCCACGTGTGGTTTTTCAACCTTCTTGCTTTCGAAATCCAAGAAAACATAACGCGTTGAATACGATTTAGGATCTTCATTTACTTTGCTTGCAACGTTGACATACTCTTCAGGAGTTATCAATCCCAGGTTCAAAGCACACTCTAGAGGCATTGCTTTGTTGCTGCTGGGTTCCAGAATAGTGATTCCGGACGCAATTTGCGGGGAAAATGCTTCTGGATATTCTTGCTGCAACGCTCGTACTTGCGATGGTTGAATTAGATTTTTACTCAATGCCTCGGATGGCGTTAAAATGTTTCCAGATTTCAGAATCAGCAGTCCAGGGATCTTTGCAGAGCTCTTTTGGAACGTTTCATAAAGTTGGTCGTATACTTCTTGGCTAATTTCTCCGGCATTCAGCGACGTTTCAGCTGGTGTAACGGTCAAGTTATCGGGATTGTAAAGACATAATCCAGTTGGCTGTCTGTTTAATTTTACGTTTGATTTGTCTGCTTTTAGTTTTGAAAGAGTTCTTTGATCAACTTCACCTTCTCGGATTGCCAATTCGAGAGTCTTTGCGTCTCGCTTATCCTTATTGAACACGACTAGCTTCCCGACCAGTTCAGGTTCTGTCGCCAGCTGCTTTGTTGTTTTAGCATATTCTTCGACATTAAGGAGTCCTCTAGTCGTCACCATCTCCAGAGGTATCAACTGGTTGCAACTTGGATCTAATGTCCTGATTTCAGATGGGAGCGACCAAGGTTCAAGGGATTCGGGTATGTTCTTAGTCAACTCGGCACATTTTTCTTCATCGATTAAATTTCGACTTGTTGCTTCGGCTAGCGAAATCAATTGGTTTTGAGCATCAATATAAAGAAGGTTTTTGGTTATCTCCTCTGGTTTTCTGACCATTGTCTCAAAAACTGCGCCGACAGCTTCTTCTGAGAGCTTGTCTTGTTTTATCAGATCTTTCAAAAAGTACTGCGTGTCAGTTTGGACGTCGTACACTTTAAGGGTAGGAATGAATACTGGCTTGGCAATTCCTGGGTACTTTGATTTCAACTCATCAAACTTGGAACTGGTCAGGAATCCTTTTTGAACAGCATCTTGTGCAGTCATTAGATTTGGCATTCGAGGGTGAATTGTCATTGCTTTCGTCAGTTTTTCTGGACTACTTTGCAGCGCGTGCATTAGATTGTCGTACATCAGTGGTGTTACGTCACCATTTTTCAAAGCTTCAGTGAGTGACATTGTTTGCTCTGTTTGTAGATTTATTATTTTCAGTTCATTGTGTTTAGCAGGCTTAAATCCATCTGGGAAAGATTCTCTCAGCTGAAAGTAAAACTCTTCGTTTATGTAACCGAACTCCAATGCATCTTCCGGTGAAACGAGTTCTCCATAATCGTCAATTAGGACTAACTTCTTCCATGCTTCAGGAAACTCTTGCAATTCAACCAGAACTTCTTTGTATTTCTGGGAACTGATATGCCCTCTGTGAACTGCGACCTCGATTGGAATAATTTCTCCGCTGAAGTTGTCCAAAACCGAAATCTCACAAGGTCGAATCGATTCTAGACATTCACAATTCGAGCCCACGAAGTTATTGTAAACATCATTCGAAATCACATCTTCGTCAAAAGCTGCTCTAAGGGACATCAGACATCCGGTGGTTGGGTTCAGAACCATAACTTTTGTAATTTGACTTGGATCTTCATTTAAAGACTGAGTAATGGTCTCGTAAACTCCGGTGCTTAGTCTTCCCGCCATTACTGCGTTTTCCAACATCATCACTTCGGATCCCTCGGAGTCTAAGAGCACCGTTATTCCTGTTGGGATGGTTCCCTCGAATGCGTTAGGATGCAAGTCGCGCAGTTCTTGGAAGAGCGTCGGACTCAAACATCGGTTGCTCACGGCTTCAGACGGTGTGTAAAGATCTCCCGATTTCGGATCTACCACCATGACTTTAGTCACTGAATAAGGGTTCTCGTTTGCTTGTGCTGTAACCATGTTCAATTTATCGTCATTTGTAAAATTATCTCGGATTGCGTCATCGCAAGACATAATCTTTCCACTATCCGAGTCCAGAATAAGGAAAGAAAATGAAAGATGATCTGTTTCTTTTGGATGCATGTCGTAAAACTGTTTGTAATCTTCCGCTGTCAAAACTCCGTTACGTAATGCTTCGTCAAATGATGTAATCTGTTCAGTCAGAGTTGAGTAAAGCATCGTTTTGCTCAATCTATGTGGTTCTTCAGCTAACTTGTTCAGCAGTTGCTGGTACACAGTGTGTGGAATTATTCTGTGACGCAAAGCTTCTTCGACCGTCGAAAATCTCTTCGAAGGAACAATGAAAACATTCAGTCCGGTCGCTCTAACCGACTCGAACGCTTCTGGGAACAAAGAGGCAATGGTATTGTACCTTTCTGCATCCACGATCTGTTTCTTGTAAGCATCGTCCAAAGTCAAAACTTGATCTGCCAGCGGGTTGAACATCATAAGTTTACACATGAATTCATTGCCGGCTTTGAATTTGTTCAGTGTTTCATTGTAGGTTTCAGGTGATAACATTCCGTTTAGAATTGACTTTTCAATCGGAACAACTATTTCGGTTCCAATGTGCAATACGGAAATTCCGGTGGACTTCATTGGCATCAGGAGTTCGGTTTGCAGTTCAACAAACTCGTCAAAAAGTTCGACGTCCAAAATCTCTGAATCCACAGCTGCTATAGGCGTCATTACATATCCACTGTGGCTATCGAGAATCATCAACTTGGTTATCAATTCAGGTTCAGTTTTCATTTTGGCAACCAGCTCTTCGTAAGTCTCATTAGTCACAGCTCCTGATGTTAAAGCTTCAAAGAGAGACATTATTTGTTGCGTCTCGGAGACGTAAATTAAAATTCCTGTTTCTTTCAGGGGCGCCTTAGTAGAAGGAACTGCTTCCTGGATCTCTTTAAGTTGTGCAATGTCAATGGTTCCAGCAGCCAGTGCTTCCTGGGGCGTCGTCAAACACCCTAACTTTTCGTCAACGATCAAACATTTAGTCAAGGATTCAGGTTCAGTTTCAATTTTTTCCAAGGTCACCGCGGCATTTTCAATTTTGATGCAGCTCTGATCAATCGCTTCTTCCAGTGTCATTTCACGGTTGAATTCGTTCGAGTAAACTGTTAACTCGGGAGCTTTCATCAATTGCATTGCATTTTTATGTTTCGATGCCAATTCTTTTGCCTTCTCGGGATGCAAAAGATGCCTTCTGACGGCTTCAAAAATGTTGAAACAGTCCTTTCCTTTATTATCCAGAATCATCACAGTGGTCAGTCTTTGAGGGTTCGATTGAACGTCTTTAGTTATCTGTTCATATACGTTTGCGCTAATTATGTTTTGCTCTTTTGCAGTTTTCAGTGGGACAACTGAATCAGTGTCTTTAGAGTAGACCAAAATTTTTGCTTCGGCTTGAGAAGCCGTTAGCAGACTTCGGCTACTTGGATGCGTGAATCCAGATTCAGGAACCAAACCCTTCTGCACCGCTTCGTCGAAGCTCAGTAGGTTTCTTTTCTTGCTTTCCCACACTAATGGTTCGTCAGCTGACGTTTCAGCGTCAAGCATTGGCAAAGCCTCGGAAAGTGAAAGGATGTTTTCTGCAATAGCGTCTTTCAATAGTTTAGCCTCACCAGTGTTCTGAACTATTACATATGTATTTGCGTCTTTGTATTTGAAGACGTCTTCGGTTTTAATCTGGTCAATGACAGTAGGATCGATCACTTCTTCCTCGACCGCTTCTTGCAATGTCATCAACTGGCTATCTTCTGGGTTCCTGACCATTAATGATGGACATCCCGATGAGTTCTCGACTAGCTTCGCCAGCATATCCGAGTAGGACTCCGGTTCCACGAGACCCATTGAGAAAGTTTCTTCCAGAGTTCTCACGACTCCATCTTCGGGATCCAATACCGAGATTCTACTAGGCTTCAAAGGATGCAAGAAGTCAACATGCTCATGGTAGAGATTCTTGTAGATGTCTTTAGTTATGGAACCCTCAAGAAATCCGACGACTGGTGACAAGAGTTCGGATTTATCAGTAACAACCAGGAGAGACGGGACACCTTGCGGTACCTCGACTGCAATCTGCGACAGGTCGCAATACTTCTCGTAAGTCGTATAGCCCAGGTTCATTGCGTCTTCTATGGTGAAAATTTCAGCAGTTTTGGGATTCAAAATTTTGATCTTGGAGGACAAGACTTTTTCAAATCCTCGAGTGAAGTTCAGGAACATTGATTCGAACTCCTCACTTGTGATTATTTTCGATTCTAACGCCAACTCAGGCGATATCATTGCGTTTTGGTTGCGATCTACTATTGACAATTTCGAAACATATCTGGGATGTGTAGTGCTGTTTAGCAACACTGACTTGACGTGGTCAAATGTTATTGTCCCGAGTGTATAAGCTTCTTCGAGTGAGTGTACGTTCTTGGTATAGGGATCATAAACTAGCAGTGATCCCAGACTCGTTTCATCGGGTAATTTTTGCACTAATCGGTCATACGTTTCTTCCGTTACTAGTCCGTTGACAAGCGCTTCTGGCGCTGAAACCATAGTTTCTGAGTTTCTTTCCTTTTTCTTGATGAATGTCTTGATTCTGTTTTCAGTTTGGGCAATTTCATAGAATCCTTTCACGGTCAAATGCTCGCGCAACGCGGCTTGGTGAGCAGGGAACAACATTTTTTCATCTGGTACGTAAATAAGCAAAAATGATGCATAGTCGCTGTCAAAATAGAGAGTACTTAGATACTTTTCAATAGCTTCTCTGTCAATTATATTTTCAGAAATCGCATTTCCGAGGCTAATCACGTCTGCCGATCCTTTGGTCACGACTGAAATTGGCGGAAATTGTCCAAAGTTGCTCGGATTTACTTTAGCTTCTGAAATTACCTCTGATTTTGGATTAAAGACGCTCATTTTGGCTGACTGCTGGAACAAGGCGAACACTCGATAAGCACAGATACAAGAATTGAACTTGGACTTAATTTCGAGTTTCTGCTGGTCGGTTATAAACTTCGACTCAACCGCTTCGTCAATTGAAATGAACTCAGTTGCACTCTTTTCAATTTTCAGGTTGGCGAATAACATGGAGCCGAATTTGTTCACTTCGGAAATCTGAAGAAGCTCAATTTGTGAGAACTCTTCTTTTGTGATCAACTTTCTATTTTTCGCATCTTCGACTGAAATCTCGATATCTGAATCGTTCACAGGGTACACATAAATTTCAGGAAGTTGCTTTACGTCTGCCAGTTTCGAAATTTCGTTTTTTGCATAGAAAGTTTTCGACTCCACGTTGTAAATCATTGGAAGCTCAAAATTTTCTATTTGCGCATGTACCAACTTTGGTTGCAAAATTTGAGTTAAGGAAATTGCTGAAAACTGTCTAGATAGTCGTTTTGTATCAATTTCGGCTAATAGGTCCTGTGATATATTTAGACCTCCAGTTGTTGCTAGCGTCATAAGGTCACTTTTACCGGTCGAAGCGTTGCGCAGCTCAATATAACTCTCCATGTCAAAGTATCCCAAGCCTAACGCTTCCTCAAGCGAATACTCATCGTTGGTAGTTGGGTCGACAACTGAAACTCGCCCAGGGATAAAAACAACTTTCTCGGGTCCAAAATCTACTGGATGGGCTTCTTTGTTCTTGAGTACCTTATACTGTGAGTGTGAAATAATTCGCTTTCGGTAAGCTTCGGCTAAAGTGCACAGCTGACTACTAACTGGATCTTGAATTGTAACTGAAGGCAAATCTGCTCCAACTGTAGTATTTTGACTGAATGCTTTGTTAATTACTCTATCATATGTCTCCTTGTCGATCAGTTTATTTTCAAGAGCTTCGTCTAAAGTGTAACTTTTGCCTGTTGATTTGGCGGTGATCACTATCTTAGTCGGCAACGGTCGTCTTTGAACGACTGGGATACCTTCATTTTTCGTAACATCGGATCTTAATCGCTGGAAGACCTCGAGAGAAATCAGTCCTCGCGAAAATGCTTCCTCAGGCGAAAATGTTTCACTTGTCTCCGAATGACTGATGTAGATGTCACCCTGTATTTGAGATACCTTCAATTCGTCTATTCCCATTGTTTCTTCCGTTTTCAACTCTAGGTACCTGGTTTCATCAATCAGTCCACTGTCAAATGCTTCGTCTAGACCCCTTTGCTCTCCAGTTTCGGGATCCGTGATCAATATTATACCTTTTGGAACCATTCGGGTTTCAGATTCCTGGTCCTCTTCTTCTTCGTCCAAGTCATCGTCTTCCCAGTTCTCGGCGATATTGGCCCGTTCGTGAATCACTTGGTATAATTCTGGGTTTATCATGTTCAGTGCCAAAGCATCATCCATTGCTATCTGCATTGAGTTGTCTTTGTCAACAACTGAAAAGTGAAGCAAACTCCACAATCGAGAATCCTCGGCCAGCTCGTCCAGGAGTTTATCTGGAGTATTTTGGATGATTTGCAGCACCTCTGAGTTTATCAAACCCCGTTCAAATGCGTCGTCTGGACTTAGAAGATCCTTGGATCCCGGTAACACAACTTTGACCAGGAGTTTGAACTGCTCCCTGGCAACGATCGAATCTGAATCAATTGGCTCTGGTTCCAAAAGTGTTGTAACTTCGAACATCAATTTGTTGTAGGTCGGTGTATCAATCAATCCTATCTTCAAAGCTTCACCTGGACTCACAACTGAATTATTTGCCGAGTTGTACACGAGCGGCGCTTCTGAGTCTTCAATATTGATGATTGGTGCAGATGGGAATTTGAACCTTTCGCGATCAGGTGTCAAATTAGTTTCTTCCATTGGTGTCCTTACAGGAACAGTTTGCGTGGTTTGGATAGTAACTAATTCAACGGAATCATCAATCTCTTTCAAATCACAGTAAGCTGAATGATCAATAAGTCCACGTCTGTAAGCCTCTTCAGCGGAAACTTTTCCGTCTCCAAGAGCGACTTGATTCTCGGGTGAACCTTCGATGAAAATTGCTCTTGAAATTTCAACTTGTGGGTTCAAATCCAGAATGAACTGTGATTTTTCCATTATTTGGGATGTTTCCGGAAAATATAGAGTTTCAGAAGATCTTGAAATGGTCAGTTTTCCGTCGTTTTCTTTCATCTGATTATATTCTTCTTGGGTGATCGGGACACCTGTATCGATTCGTTCACGTTGTTTCATTTCACTGAAGATCTCTTCATCCAGGAGACCTCGTCTTCTCCCTTCATCAAGCGAGATCTTTTCGCCAGTAATCGGGTCAATCAAGGTCACTTTCTTGACCAGATTTGCCAGCAAACTCTTTCTGGGATGAGCAAACACTATTGGCATCGACTGTTTCACACTCTCCTGGGACTGAGTCTGAACCTCTTCGATCAAGGCCGTTCTTGAATTATTCAGACTCTTCATGCTAGCTGTTCGTTCCATTAATGATGTCGCTTCAAGTACTTGCGGTTGAACATGCAAAAATGCTTCCGGAATTTGGATTCCAGCTGTTTGTGCATCTTCAATGGTCATGTGACCTTGAGTCGCAGGGTCAAATATGACACTTGATGGTTTAGATGTTTGCGGAATGTTACTCGTGCTTCGGTCTTTCAGGCTCTGGTACATTTCCGAGTCGATTACATTTGTTTTTAAGGCTTCTTCAAGTGTCATGCGACTACCGCTTTCAGGTGATACAACTCGTAGAACCTTCCGTTTTATTTTCTGCATTGGTTTTTTGTTCTTCGAACGTTTCTTTGATGCCATTTTCTGCGTTGCAGGTAGGACAAACTCGCCTCCCAATAGTGATTCGGAGGACTCAACGGGTGCTTTTGGTTTTGGACCCTGATCCAGATGTTCCTGACTGACAACTTTTCCATCAATGAACTTGTAACAGAATCGTATTCCATCGTCAGTTTCGACACTGATGTTCAAATTGGACGAGAGTTTACGCTTGTCCAGTCTATTAATTCCAGATTCGCTTTTGATCTTTCGATTTTGCTCGGCTTTTTCGTCATATGGAACAACGATCGCATTCGGGTCTTGTTGGATCTCGCTTAGCAATCTTGAATCGTCAACTGAGTATTTTTTGCGTTGGACTTGAGGCTTACCGCTATTTTCATCCACGACAGTTTTCTCCAAGAGAACAAACTTTGATTCAGGCTCTGGAGTTTTCATTTGTTTCACGGTGATGCCAATAGTTGGCGTATCGCATGCTTCAACAATCTCTTTATTTTCAATCTTCTCATCAAATTTGACAGATTTTTCATTGTTTTCCGTTTTCTTGGAAGTAATTTCAACTGATTGCACTCTAGGAGGGAACGCACTTTGAGTCAAATCAAGTTTCTTAGGTCTAGCCAATGGTTCCTCTTCCGCCTGTAAAGCCAGGAACATTTTGGACGCCTTTGGAGCGTCGTCTTCTTTTTTCTTCCTCTCAGGACTTGCAAGGCCTCCTAAAAGTCTCTGTATGGAATTCGACTTTGTTAATTTTCTCACTAGTGGTGCTTTTGTTTTGTAGTATGATGTCATTAAAAACTTCTCTTCATTCTCAAGACATTCCCTGTGGACAACTAAGTACCTCGACTTTCCATCGAACGTTTCATAAATTGATATGGATCCTAGATGTCTAATTTGAACACAGGCCGTGAACTCGTTTAAACTAGGCGCCAGTTCATTTTGGTCCAGTTTTTCAAACCGCTCAATGTCAATAGCTGACAAATGATGAATTAACTCAGTCGCAGTGGGCGCTGATTTTATGTTCATTAGCTTGCTCAAAGGAGACATTTCATCGCCGGTCGGCAAATTGAAAAAACAGCCTACCGATGATTTTTTGAGTGGGACTTTGTTTCGGAAAAACTCGGGCAAATCTTTGCTATCAATTGGAATCCAGTAAGTATTTCGCTTAGAGACATCATTTCTGTCTTTGGTTACAAACGAGAATTCAACTATTTTTTCGTCATAGTTTGCAGTCGTCCGATTGATCAGAACTTTCTGAATTTTGCAGTTGTAGTTTCGACAGAGCGCGAAGCTTTCATTTCGGTTTTCTGACTGACTCACGATTGTTCTTTCTCCTTTTCCCGAGGAATCGAAATTTTCTTCAAATGAGAATCGGTTCTTTTCCGAGAACTTCAGAACCATTTCGGGATCCTGGAATTCGACAGACGGACATTCGTCTATTTGACAAGTATGCAAGAATTTCGGAGCCGGGTCCAAGTCGGCAGCCATTGATAGCTTGTCAAATATTGAAGACTCGGGCAAAAATGACGTCAGAGGCCGTACGTCCTCGGAGTTAAAAATAGTTTCGTCAGGGTTTATTATTCTGGTCGTATTTGTAATAGATCTTCCACTTCCATCAACTAATTGCTTCTTGAGCTCTAAAATGGATCCCAATACTTTAGACTCCCCTCTTTGTTTGTGAATTAAGTTCTTTTGACTCAGTGTCAAAATTGTCGGCGAAGGTGTGAAAAACGTATGTCGGGACACCTGTAAATTGTCATCTTCAGCCAGTTTGAAAATTTCCACTTCTGTTTTCTGCAATTCATTTTCGCTCTGCATAGTCTCAGTGACTTTAACGCCAATAACTTTCGTGATTTCAACCTCGACTTGACAAGGTTCGTATTCAATTTCATGAGGCATGAAATTCATCAGAAAGTCATTGAAGACCTCTACTTTCTTTGATTTGCTCACCGTTTTTCCGAGAATTAGATCATCCTTCTGCATTGAGAAGTCTAATTGAACTAGTTTATTTAACAGTTCATCGTTGAAGTTACTCCATCGTTTTACGTGTACAGTTTTGCCGCTCTTAAGGACAAACACCAGAGAAGTTTCATAGAAATCAGTTTCAAATCGAACAAAATCTAACGACGGTACGGTCTCGGAGGGTTCTAGGAGTCTGAACTCGGCTTTAGTTGACCGATAGCGACGCATTTCAATCGCTTCTTCGTTTTTACTGTCAACAGTTGAAAACTTGACAAAAACATCATATTCTGAATTTTCATTAAGATAGTACTCAAGACATCCTTTTAAAAACCCCGAGACTTCGAATTTCGTTGGCTCTTTCGTCAAGTATTCCACTTCTTTTGAAACCCTAGAGAGGTCGGAAGGGTTCGAGAGACCACTCTGGCTCAGGAATCTGACCAGTTCAGGGTCATCGTGTTTGTAGTATCGTGTCAATTGCGAACTTTCTTCACCTTTCACGTCTTCCCTTGACACTTCAATGAACTGCTGCGGGTTTTCCAGAAAGTAATCGGCTCCAGGCTTCACTTCATGGACTTCCACTGCGTCGAGTCCATAACGTCGATATTCAACGACAATTTCGCCTTGCTCTTTTATGCGTTTGACAGACAAGTGGTAAAACTTTTTGTTGATCTCGTGAATATTCTGTATTGTGGCATCTTTGAGAGGTCGCATTTCTACGACCCGTTTGTAACCTTGACGAGGGTCTGAGGACAACAACTCAGTTTCTTCGTCTGGGAAAACTGTGGGATGGAAAACTTGAGATGTCAAGAATCGCGAGGGCATTCCAGGCTTCGGCTCCTCTTCAAAATCCGGTTCCGAGTCCCGGATTTCCTCGTCGTCGGAAGCACGTCCAGTTAGTATCTCTACGGAACTCAAACCTCTCAGTTTACGAGTCTCAGAAACATCGCCAACTGTAGCTATTTCAAAATCATCGGGTACTTTCGTATCATCGACATCAGCAACTTGATTGATTTCAACCGCACTCAAGCCTCTTTTTAGCTTTTCAGCGTCTTCTAGTTTTTCTGATTTGACACCAAGAAGATCATCTTGCGCTATATCTTGATCACGCTCAGAAACTATTTTGTTTTTAGATCCACTGAGGAATCTCGACTTAGGCATTTCACCTTCTGCGGTTTCCATTTCTGGATGCATGTCATCTTTAAGTTCGTCGTTTTCAAAACCAGATTGAGGGATTTTCTCTGCCGACAAAAAATTCTTCTTTCTTTCATCTAGCTGTTCATTTGTAAGCGGTTGCTCGTCCACCTTTTCGATTGCTTCATCAGATACAGGCTCAAGAATAACTTCATTTAAGCTAATTTTGGCTCCACTTAGACCCCTTGATTTCAGTGGAGTTTCATCTGGGACTGTTTCGATCTCTGCAGTTTTTTCGTTTTCAATTTCCATGTCTTCAATATCACCCGATGATAAATTTCTTTCGACACAAAATCCGCGTACATGTTTGTTTGCTACTGTCACAGCTTGTTCCAGACTCGTATCCCTTTCAACTTTTCTGGACTCCAGAACTAGGCCAGATACTTCACCAATTTCTGTTAAGTTTGGTTCGGCTGAATGGTCGCCCTTCACGGGATCAGTTTCAACTGCTGTATTCAAGACTTTGAAGCTTTCATTTTCTTCTTTTCGAGTTTCAATCGAAATTGATGCAATTGAAGAAACGCCTTCATTCGGTATATTTTGCTCGCAAGTTTCATCTGCTGTTTTTTCTGTTGCGGGAAACGTTTGGGCAACTGTTGATTCATTAGAAGCTTTATCTAGTATTTCTTGACTTTCTTTTCCAGGAATCTGTTTCGCTTTGGCCGAACCACCGCAACTTAGCTCTTCAACCCCTGAAGCATTATGAATATTAGTCAAAGAATGCTCGATCTTTGAAAACATGATGTAATTCAGCTGAAAAAAATTGCGATTGAAAAATTAACAGAGAGCAATCGTCTAATGGGCTAGTGGTACACTGTTCTCACCACATACATTATCAGACTCAAAAGCATCCAGTGCTGACACCTAACACATCTTCTGAGTTTTCTGACCACCTTCTCGCATTTAACATTTTACACAAAGCGAAGCTGAACTTCGCAAACGCAATTGAGAAAAGCGCAGAAAGAATCCTAAAAACGGCAAAAAGGAAAAATGTAAGAAAAAACACGTGAAAAAAAATTCGAATCCACAAAAATATAGCCAACAACCGGACACGATTTACGATTCGAACTCGATCATCCCGTTCAAGGGTCACTCTTCTTTTCTACAATTATCACATCATTTCTTATTATCAGGCAGCAAATTATGCGCCTAGAAAAAACGGAAACAACTCGTTATTAAAGAGCGAGGCGAATAGCGCGGTGAAAAAATTGATTGAGCATTTGTGTTCATCTTTCAACTTTCGAAAAATATATACCATGTCTTTGAATTTCGAAGACTGTATATGATTGGCACTTAGAGAAAACCAGATCACCAGATTTTTTATTGCACTGGAATTTCAGAAAAATTAACCCCATTTTTGAAACTAGCGAACTAGTGAAATAAAGCGAACTTAAAGAAATCATAAGTCACGAAAAGTCAAATTTGAGTTTTTAAATTAAATTTGATCAAAAATTTTACTTTTTCTTGAAACAAAAACAAATAAAAAATCATTGAGACCTATCTAAGTGAAAAACACTTCGTTCTTTTATTCTTAAAAAATGCCTAATTATTCTTGATGCAACTTCCAATTAAAAAAATAGGCTCTTCAAAAAGTTTCCATGACTGACACTTTTTTCATGATACAAGCCCGTCAAAGAAAATTGGATCAAAACGAAATTTTGGATTCAAATGGGTAGTCTAAGAAATAAATCCACCTTTGAAACTACAAGAAAATCAAGTTTTTTGAGTCATTTGCAATTTCGCGATTAAATAGCGTATTTGCCTTCCATTTAGCAGAAAAATATGATTTAAATTTGATCCAAGTTGAATTGAAAAGAAATCAAGTCAAACTTAAGCGCAAAAACATGGAAGAATTTCTCTTTTAAAATGGAGCAAAAAACCAAATCGTTTTAATTAGTGTCTTCACTTCATACATTTACACTTAATATGATGTCCAAAACAGTGACTAAGCTGCACTCCGCAAAAGCAGAAAAGCGGCAAAAAAGGTAAAATGTACAAAAAATACAGAAAAATAGAATGAAAATCAACTTGAAAAAAGTGCTCTAAAATATAACTCGAGACTAGCTGCCAATTGTTCAGACCCCTTAGTTTATTTCAAGTTGAAACGATTATTTGACCGTGTAAAAGTATTTTGATCATTAAGAGATTGTGCATAAAATTAATGAATTTCACACATTACCAGATCGAAAATCTTACTTCATTAGAAACTCGGGGCATCGAAATCTTAAACAGATACAACTCACCCTCAAAAACTATTATTTTTATTAACTTTGCATTTGAATGTGCGATTCGTTTGGAAACAAGAAGTAGAATGACCCTTGCATACCCGCTTTTTACCCAAAAACTACCCTAGCATACCCGCTTGGGTAAAAAAATACCCTGAAGTGAAATCAAAGAGAGCAAAAACATACGCAAGTAAAAAACAAGGACAGCCGGTTACTGCGCAAGTAGCACAGAATGATCCGACCAAAGTTTTTTTTCTGCGTTGTGTAATAAAAAATCTGAAATAACAAAATTAAAACTTAGGCGACAATCATAGCGAAGTAGGCCAGCTGGTAAACAATTTTTGTAGAAAATTGACTATAAAAGCTAAAAAAAAATCGTTTAAAGCTTAAAAAGAAAATAGCAAATTTTTTTTGAATTTTCAAGTTTTGATTCCCAAATTGGCGCTGAAAACTCCAAAAACTAACTTTAGTCAACTAAAACTAAGTTTTCACGGCTTAAATTAAGCATAAATAAGCTATTTTAATCCTGCACGCTCACCTTATTGGCTTGCAATTAGACCATAAATCAAAAATTTCAAACTAGTTTTTTTTCCATGAGAAAAATTTTTAACAACTTTCAAGGTCGTTCGAATCAAGACTATAAGGGCTTCAAAATGATATATCACTCGATCCATCCGATAATTATTTGGGGTACCTGGTTTTTCGTGGAAAACAAAAAAAAACGAATCCAAAGTTCCTCCCTATTTTCAAATAATAGGAACAAAAAACAGCTATTCGATTGTACATCGTCGCAATTAAAACCCTCTGGAGCCAACCAAAGTCGACCTCTGGTACCGTTTTTTTTAAATTGCTATCTTTACATATGCGAAGTTTTTGTCCGAAATAGAAATTGTACGCAGAGGCGATACAAAGATATACACAGAGGCGAAGCTGAGCTTCACACCACTTGCGATTCAAATACGAATGTTATGAAAATCAAACGGAAAAAAATTCATAACATCGTTTTTGTCAATCAAAATTGCAGCAAAAGCCCAAAAATATCCGGAAATTGCCTGCGCCATTAGAAACTCTACCAAGAGCCTTGGGAATGCTATAGAGAGGCCATATTTTCAAAAAAAAAGTCCTTTCTGCGGAACAAAGCAGACAAAAATAAGCAAACAGACAAAAATTTCTATTTACAAGAAAAACAAGTCTTAACTAGAATCGACCGGGGTTTTTTTGTCTCAAATATGGGGTTTACAGCAACTTGGATTAAAGCTGAACCATCGAGCTACGGGATCTAAGCCGAAAAAAATGAACAGACAAAATCTTTGCCATCTCAAGCAGTTGTTTTATCTCTACGGCAGATGGCTGATTGTATTTGAATTAACAATTACCAAGCGGTAAAAAAAGCCGAACAAACCTGAGCAGAAGCCCTTCATGCCGAAAAGAAAATCAAAAAAATTCTGAACTTACAAAAAAAATGTCAAGTCCCTTTACCCGTCAGAGCACACACACACACACACGAGCATAATAACTTTTCTCGGACGTAACGACGCAATAAGTCGATATTAATTGTGCCGAAATTTATTGAGCCATAAAAAAGACGAAAAAAAATGAAAACAAGATGAAAGTTTAACAAATCGAGCTGGTTAAGTTACAACCAATGTGAAAAGCAAATCTCAATTCCGCCGGATTTTTAAAATGCTAAAAACAACTGCAGTTAAAATGGTTACAGCTAAAATAAACTATTCTTAGATGGGTCAACTAAGCCGAAAAAAACATAAGCAGACAAATAATAGGCCGAAATTTAACTGAACCGGAAGGTTTAAAAAAAACTGGTCCTGGTCACATTCGAATCCAGCGCCTTTGCCGTCCCAGGCGTATCCATTACCACCAGGCTAAGCGTGCAAGATACACTACAAATTTTGAATTCATTATGAAACCAGGGTACAACAGGTTGAATGAGTCCTGTGGACAAATTTGATTACGGGGGAGGGGGAGTCTGGTACCCATTTGCAAGACCCTTGCTTTCGCAAGGGTAATGAAGGAGAGTCAAGCATTTACAAATTGGCAGCAAAAAAAACAGCCAGTTAAATTTTTTACAGAAAATTTATAAAAAATCTTGCCCCCAAATGGGATCGGTTCTAAGACCGCCAGATGACAGTGAAAATTCTCTACCAGTAGCGCTATATCGGCTGTTTTCCAACACTAGCCACCAATAAAATCAAAACTTGTAGAAAAATTCCGATGCTAAATTTCTCTGCAGCAAAAAGCCAACTGCTCGTGAAACCAACTTATGAAAACTGAGTTAGATAAAGTTTTAAGGGAAATGATGCAATCAGATACAGTCATAATTTCAAACGATTAGATTATTACAAGAATGAAAAACTAACACAAGGCTTCATTCATTGATTTCTTGTGACTGAAAAGCAATAAAAAACTAATTGAAAATTAAAAAGCAAAAAAAAATGGATTTGAAATATACGGGAAAACATAGCCAACAGATGAGGAAAAAAACGGTGACAAACTCAATTACCGAAAAAATATATTAAAAAATTTTGAACTATTTTAAACTTTTGAAGAAAAAAAAACATTTTAGGTTGAGTTTCATAATTGTTTATTATCCGTATTTTTCTAAATTTATGCCGTTCAGAGACAACTGAATCAATAGTTTAATTTTTCATTCAGCTGAAACTTCAGAAAATGAAAAATCAAGTCCATTTTCTTAACTTAAGTTAACAAGGTTTTCCCTGACCTTGGCACTTTTGCTGCTCGATAGTGGAAATACACACCTTTTCAAAAGTAAATGAACAAAATTTCAAAATAAAACGAAAGACCGCGATAAACCAAATCAAAACTCAATAAATCATCACGATAAAAAAATTCAATAAAAAAATCAGTTCGTTCTTCAGCACGCAATTACTTAAATTATCAGAAAATCCCGTCTGGTGGTGACAAAGCCGACGAAAAATAAGAAGATACACAATAGGCCATAAATTATTCATTCAAACTAAAAAAACTCAACTAGCAAAAAAACACCTGGCCAGATTTTAACCCTCAATCTCTGCAGACTCTGCCTCTTCGCCAAATACGCAAATAAATATACTTTAAATCAAGTCACAAATAATTCAGTTTTTGTGATGAACAAGTTGCTACAATAAAAAAGTTTAAGTTCCAATTTGAAAGCAATTTCTGATCGAAGCTTTAAAAAATCTGAACAGAAGTGTAGGACTTTGATAGAAAAAATTCATTGGACGTAAGACAAGCTTTGCCAGCTGTAAGACAAGCTTTAGTTGTTCGACGCAAAATGCAGTTCGAGTGTGATGTCTGCAACCATAAAAATTACTGACTTACTTTGTGTTTTTGTTTTTGAAAACATCAACATTCGAATTTCACAAAAAAAAACAGAACAATTTTCGATTAATACTGATAAAAGTAACCCAAGCTGAGAGCACTGGTTCGAAGTTTCAATTTTTTATCGCTGACAATACTTAAAAACAACATGAAAATCCGTTTTCAAATTCAGAAGTAGTTAGTTTATTTTTCGCGCCATTTCCGCTTTCGCCTATAAAAAAAACGAAGAAAAAAACTTAACTTCACTACGTTCGTTTCATTGAGACTTCAAAACTATTTCGATCAATTTTTGGTACTTCTCAATCAACTTCAAGGTTCAATCAGAGGCGAAGCAGAGGTTTCCATTACTTTCGTAATTACTAAATCGCAAATGAAAAAAAAAATTTGGAAAAAATTTCAGAAAATCATTCGAGAACCACCACTAGCAGCATTAAATAAGCACTTAGTATTTACCGAACGGACACTAAGTCGACAATACATGGGTACACGAACATCCAGCCGAAAACAAAAAATATGCCATATGAAATTTTTGTCATAAAAACTAAGAAGATATTAAAACTTTTACACCACAAATTACCTGAATTAAATTTTTGATTTTCAAACGACACAAAATCAGTTGACTAAGCTGATACAACATAAGCCCAAACCAGTTGTGTCGATTGAAGCTTGTAAATGAAAAAAAAAGGAAAATATACAAAGTCAGGGCAGCAAAGTTAAATAATAGGCGTAAATTAAGAACACTTGCAATTACAATGAAAACTGTTTACAGCTCATTAAACATCCATGAGGTGGCAGTTAATCAGAAAAAACATAAGCAACCGAATAAAAACTCGACAATTCAAATTCTCACGGAAAACAAATTCATCTAAAACAATGTCCGACCGAGACTCGAACCCCGCACTATAGATCAAGTGAGAAGGAGCCTGGAAGCCGTTAAGGTTCAATGATAAAGCAAATTCAATTTCTTACAGATGAGTAAAAATTGTTCTCGGATCATTTTGTGCTACTCGCACCGCAACGGACTCTCCTTGTTGAGTTTAGAACATACAAAATTTCGTAACACTTGATCTCGCAAATATAATTCATAAATTCCCGAGTATTTTATGGACCTCAATTACCGAGCACCTTGAAACAGATTGCTAACGCCTAGAAAAAATTGCCTAATGTATACTTTATAAAAGCCAAAACAAAATATCCTCAAACATGCCTTTTGCAAAAAAAAACCGGCCGAATTATCCGATAATAGATCTATCAGTTCATTTATCTCGACTTCACTCGACCAAGAGATCAATATGTTCACAACATTCTATTTCGTACTGTCTCGATTAACCTTTTCTTATCAGTTCATAAATTATAACATCCTAAAGTTTGAAAAAAATATTCCGAAAAATGAAAATTTCTTCATTGGAATAAATAAAACTATATACAGTTGGCCAATGAAAGCCAAAACTGATTTACAATCTGTCGAGCTATTGTAACCGACAACTCTTGCCTGAAAAGTGTTGCACCCGAATAGCAACTATAAAATTTTTCATGATTGGATAAGGGCTTGTTTTACCTTTTGTCGCCCCAGTTGGGGTAAAAGCCACTTTGCGACATTTGAAAGATATTGTTACTTTATTCATTTCATGCGTAAAAAAAATCTAGAGGCATAACATGCATATATCAAGTTTAGGGTGAATATTCCGTGCTTGTTGATTACTTCATAGGTTAGAAGGCTACTAATGTCAAAATTGTTAATTTTCAAAGTCAAACCTTCCATCTGCTGGTGAATCTCCAGAAACTCTGCATTCTGTGAGTCGAAAGTTAGTTGAACATCCTCAAAACTATCTGACTTCCCCTCAGTCATTGTCCAGTCGATATTTGTTTCTTGGTCAAATCTTTCACCAGTGTCATTGTCAAATATTGGCTCTTCTTTACGTGGGAAGGTAACGTGCAGGAACTTGACATCGTCATTTTCTACCGTCGCATCAATTTTGATATCCAATTCACTTCCAAGTTCCTTTTCCCCTAAGTTTTGGTCATCTGTCAGGTCAAAAAGAGGCGCTCCCGTTTTTATTTTGTTAGCCGACAAAACATCTTCTTCGACGAAGGGTTGCTCGCAATACTTGGTATCAACTTCGTGAATGTTCGCTTTATCTAGTATGGATTTCTCAGTTTCGTCATCTGCTTGTTCGTCCGTAATTAATGGAAGAACTAAAATATTTTCATCTGAAACAGTTTCTTCAATCTGATGTACGTTGCTGGGAACATGGGTTCGATCCTCACTCTCGTCTAATTTATTTAAGCCATGCAGTGTTTCATCAGCTAAAACTGTTTTATCAGGTGTCTCTGGTTCGATTTCAGAAAGAGCTTCCATTTGATTATCTTCCTCTTTCAGTGTGCTGACTGTTATTTCGGATTGCATTTTGTCTGGCTCCATCTCTGAGTTAAATTCTTCATTCTGCGAGTCGACTGTAAGTTTCACATTCTCAAAACTATCAGACATACCTTCTGTTATTATCCAGCCAACATTTGTTTCATCGGCAAAACTTTCATCAGTGTCATTGTCAAATATTGGCTCTTCTTTACGTGGCAAGGTAACGTGCAGGAACTTGACATCGTCATTTTCTACCGTCGCGTCAATTTTGATATCCAATTCACTTCCAAGTTCCTTTTCCCCTAAGTTTTGGTCATCTGTCAGGTCAAAAAGAGGCGCTTCCGTTTTTATTTTGTTAGCCGACAAAACATCTTCTTCGACGAAGGGTTGCTCGCAATACTTGGTATCAACTTCGTGAACATTCGCTTTATCTAGTTTCAATTTTTCAATTTCGTCTTCTGCTTTTTCGTCCTTGTTTGAAAGAAAAACTGAAACTTTTTCCTCCGAAATAATTGCATCAACCTCATGCACCTTGCTGGGAACATTGCTTCGATCTTCAATATCCCCTAATTTATCCAAATCAGCCGATTTTTCTAGGTATGTGAAAGTTTCAGCGAGTTTCTCGGGTTGAATTTCATTAACGGCCGCTTCTACTTGATAATCATTTTCGTTCACAATGTTAACCTTTAGTTCGGTTTGCGTTTTCTTTGCTTTAGTCATCTCGTGAGGGATGAATTCCACTTCAGACTCTTCAAATTTCACACTTTCAACCGTTTGCATATTTTCGGGTTCTTTCGTCTCTACAGTTGGATCTAGTTCGTTCACAGTTGAGATGGCTTTAGCGTTGACTGGTTTTAGTGAGCTTTCAGATAACGATTCCCCAGGAGACGAAACATCATCCAATGGTTCCAGTTTCTTACTGTCTCCAGGTTCAACAACATTTTCTATCTTTTCTGTTCTATTTGTTTGGAGTGAAAACTCCGGCTCTTCAAGTTCATTCATGATAAGATCGGTTTCTGGGAATTCAGTTCCAATTTCCTCGAATTCGGAGAGAATTTCAGACGAATCCGAGCCGGTAGTAGAACGGACCTGGATTTCGTAAAATAATTTCTCCGCTTTCCTGCTTCTACCTTCATTTTTAGCTTCTGAAATCTCAGCGAAACTTTCTTCGGCAGATTTTACATTTTCGATATCTTCAGTGACATTCTTGAAGGTTTCTGTGTGTTGTTTGACAAAATTGACATCTAAGTCTTTGACCAGATCTTCATTGCCAAAATTTTGTTCTTTTTCGAAGTTCTCTTGAATTGTTTGAGTTTGCGGATCATTCAGAAGATCGGTTTGTTCTGGAAAATTTGCCTCCTTCAAAGGTCTGGTTTCAACTACAGGCTGATCGGTATTAAGATTTTCAAAGTTTTCTGTTTCTTCATTGTCATCAACTTCTAATACATCAGCTTCAATAGACATCTCAGCCGATACTTTTTTAGTGAGTTCACTTTCTAGCTCATCAAATACATTATTAGTATGAGTCATTTCAACTGTAAGATCTGGCAATTCTACTGCTTCTTTTTCTGACGTAGCGATTCTCGCAATATCTCCACACTTTTCAATATGTTCAATCTCGTTAACTTTTTCTTTGTTATCTGATCCACCATTTACTGGGTCAACTTGAACGGCAATTGAATTGATTTCTGCTACATCAAAACTTTCAGCTGAATTATCGTTGAACATTACTTCATCTTCATTTTCATTAGAGCTAGGTATCTTTTCAAACTGTTCTTCTTCAATAGATGCATCATTGGTCAAATCGACAAAATTGTGCTCAATGTTTGTGAAATGCTCAGTGATGGTTTCATCCGCTGCGTCTTCACACTGATTCGAAGCAGCAAAAGCGACCCCTTCGGAAAGCATGGAAGGTTTAACTTTTTCTGCAATTGAAAGATTATCTCTTTCATGGTCCTTTTTCAGATCGCTTTCTTCGCAATGCACAACGCACGAAGTCTCGTCAGGCATTAACAAATGTTCCTCCACTGAAAGAAGTTTGAGTGAAAATTGATTCACATCCCCTTCATTCATTTCAGGTTCAAGGGCTGTTATTTCATCTGGATTTTCATTCAAGCTCACTTCCATATTGGGATCCCAGCTTTGGATCCAAGTTGGATTTTCAAGATCAACTTTCTCATCCACAAGGTCATCAATTTGACCTTCATAGTGCACGTCGATGTAATACTTGTCTTCATGGTCGGGTTCATGACTTATCGGAACTGCGCCCAAATCTTCGATTTCCTCAACTGGTGACGGCAAATCGGGTTCACAGGGTTTGAACACCTCGACTGTTTCGACCGGTGAAATTTCCACGAACGGTTTCTCTTCTGATTCCCCTGAGTTATGTTCTACGCTTGAGTCTTCCGCTTTCCCAAATGGGGGTTTTTCGTCGGTTTCAGTCGTTGGGTGGGTGATTTGAGATGTGAACTCATTTGGATGTTGGATTTGGAAATGAAGTGGGAAGGATGGGAGGACAGGATGAAAAGCAGAACCCGCAACCGATACTACAGAGGATTGTGGGCTTAGTTGATCACAATCTAAACATGCGTTTATGGAAACGGTTATCACATCCCACACCTAGCATGCAAAGGGTTAAATGGGATAAAAACGATTAATTTGATGTTCGTTTGAAACAATTATTGAACATAGAAGCAGTTATGATGATATATACTGAAAGATGACAGCCGGGAATGGACTTTGAAAATTTAGCATCATAGACTCTACGCCTAGTATTTGAGTGACGGCAAGTCACATTCAAGTCAAAAATACTGAAAAAACTTTTACAATTAAGAACTCACGCGAGATAAGCTTACCTTGATCTGCATCTGGTTGTTTCTCTGAAACAACGAAACACGGATAATTTATCTCAAGATTGAATACAAACCAACGAAAGATTTATCCACAAATTATCGCTTTCCACCTAAAAAATACATTTCAAAAACCCAAACAAGGATAGCCGGTTACTGTGCAAGTAGCACAGAATGTTCCGACCAGTCTTAAAAAAAAAAAAATTTCAAATTGTTGTCGTTTTTTTTCTGCATGTTGTGAAAAAATTCTGACCAAAAAATAGAACTTAGGCATATTTGAGAGTCATAGAAAAATAGGTCAATTGGGAAACCGTTTTTGAAGAAAAATGACTAGAAAAACGAAAATAATAAATTTTGAAAAAATTTTTGATTCCGAAAATTGCGATTTAAAACTCCAAAAACTACTACCTTTACTTGAGTAAAACTAAGTTTTCGCGGCTTAAATTAAGCTTTAATAAGCTAATGCAATTACGAAATACCTCACTAATTAACTCGAAAATAAACCAAAAATCAATTATTTCAGATTCATCAAATAATCGGAACAAAAAAACAGCAGTTCGATTGTACATCATCGCAACCAAAACCATCTGGAGTCAACCAAAGGCGATTTCCTCTGGTACCGTTTTTCAAAATTCCTATCTTTACATATGCTTCGGGCTTTTTCCGAAAGAGAAATTTTTTAATGTGGTTCGAATCACGACTGAAAAGGCTTTAATATGATATATCACTCAACCCTGTCCGATGAATATTTGTGGTAGCTGATTTTGCGTGGAAAACAAAAGAAAAAGAAACTAAAACACACCCGAATACAAGGTTCCTCCCCATTTTCAATGGTCGAAACAATAACACATTGACTTGGATTCTATCCAGCCGAACAAGCATTTCAAGGTTTGCACAGTAATGTAGCTGCACTTCCCAAGCACAAGCAACAATTGGCAACAAGGAGCACTAAAATCGAAAAAAAAACTTAAAAAAAAAACCAAAGCATATGTATTTAGAAGTTAAACCTGCCGCGCCCTTGGCAATTTCCGAATTTCGAAGAAAAAAAAAACATCAAAACTTTCAATGAAACTCAAAATTTAAAATATTTGTTTTCTGAATTTCAACAATCATCAATTTGAAATTCAATAATCTTTCATGATTTGAACTTTTTTCATAAACCTAACTCAATTAGAGAAAACTGGGTCAATATGTAATTTTTTTAATCCTCTGGGAAATCTTTATATTTCAATCCATTTTCGAACCTTATTGACAATCACATTTTCCCCGCCAATTGACCTTCCATAAATGGAGAGTGTCCATTTGCTTTTAGCAAATCAATTTACCAGATCGAAGAAAAAATACTTCAAGGACACCAATTTAAGAAAAGTAGTAAAGCAAATCGAAAAATTCATATCTGCACGGATTGTACAGCAAAACTTTATTGTGTTGCTACAACTCAATTTCTGCTATATTGACTTCCGTTTTGCGCAAAAATAATTTACCGCTTACCAACGCCTAACGATTCTGATAGGTTGAAAATTTCCGTCATTGGTACTCTTAATCATGAGAATATCTACCCCTTTCAACTGCCTGGACAAATCAAACATAGCCAACAGAAAGTTGGAAAAGAACCAATGCTCACAAGTTAACAGAAAACACTGACTTGTTTTTTACCCTTTTAACACTTTTAAAATATATAGCCTAGAAGCTCTTTGAAATTCGAGAAGACTTTATGATTGACACTTTTTTTGATAAAATGAACAGTTGCTTCGCGCCACTTGTGATACCACATACAAAAAACGTTGCAAACTAGCAGACAGTAGAGAAAAAGAAGAGCCACTAAATAAGCCCAAAATAAAAAAACAGAAAAAATCAAAACTGACAAAATTTCAAAATAGTGTCTGGTAAGATGTTCTATTTGCGGGAAAAAAACACCCAAAACACAATCGGCCGCGTTTAATACAAATTCGAGAACAATTATCGAGCTGCATCTAGTCGAGAAAATTTGGGTAAAATCCCGAGGAACCGAAAACAATATTGTTGTGATAAAAACTTCGAACTGAAACTTTTAAGATGTCCCAAAAACTGTGCAAGGAAATGGAAAAACTTCAAACTTTGAATTTCAGAGAATCAAAAATATAAGGAATTAAAGCTGTTTGAATATCAAAAAATAATTTATGATTGATTTTTTTGATAATATTAAGATAAAATAACCCAATTTGAGAACACTGGATCTTATGGTATTTTTTTTTCGCGGGGAATACTGTAAATAAAAACCCACTTTCTCAACTAGACGTCGATCACGTAATTTGAGACCTTTATAATCTTGCTGTTCGATAGTGGAGTTCCCCTACCTTTTAAAAAAGGAAATTAACTGAACATAAAAAGAAATCAAAAGTCAATCCGCAGAAAATCAAATTTGTGTTGTTGACTCTTGAAAAAAAATAATCAAGACTTATATAGGGCAATAAAATGGAAAAAGGTACAAGTATGACAGCACAAAAGTTCATGCCATACCGTCGGGAGAAGCATCCACTCGCTGCTCATCCATAGAAGAGTCCGCCACTTTGGGCTTTGGGACTTCTGTGATCCCTGCAAATCCAACTCCCGCTGACATCAGGCTCGGATCCTCTTTTTCTTTCAAGTTTGAGTCATCGTCAATGGACTGCGGAATAACTGCTGACTTTGCAACCTCTGCTGAAGCCATGTCTTTTTTGGTAAGTTTATCGTCATCGTCAATCACTTTTGCCGACGTTTGTGGCTCCTCGGAATTTAGGTTCTTCAATACAGGTTCCTCGTGAGGTTCCAAAGCAGTCTGGCTACCCTTCAGGATTGGTTGGAAGCTTTCCAGCTTGGACGTTGGTTCATTTGGATCGACCGGTGTTATTATTGGCTGAAACTTTTCAATGCTGTCAATGACATTCGGTTCTTCGTTTCCATCGGAGGTAT